CTGTTCAAGCTTTTGAATGAACTCATGAGCGTAGCTGGCTTCGCAGGCTTCCTGCACCATCTTCCTCTGTTCATCAAGACTTAGGACCTTCTGTGCCTCTGTGAAGCCCTTGGCCACATTCTCAAACACCGTTCCCCTGAACAGAACCGGTTCCTATAACTAAGTTAAATACATTCGAGAACAGAAAGAAGCTGTCTTACCTGTTGAACAAGAGCCATCTGAGACCTAAGCCACTTGACATTTAGCATGGATACATCCATGCCATCAAGAAGGAAGCGGCCAGAGGTTGGTAGGTACCATCTCTCCAACAAACCAATTATAGTACTCTTTCCAGAGCCACTGGCTCCGACAATGGCGGTCGTTTTGCCAGCTGGGATGTTCAGACTGATGTTGTTGAGCACGTTTGTGTCAGGTCGAGAGGGGTATGAAAAGGAAACGTTCTCAGCCTCGAGATGGCCGTGGCACTTTTCGGGGACTTTGCCTTCATTACCGAGAGGATCCAGTAAGGAAGATTTGTCAAAGATCTTGAAGAGTTCGGAAGCGGCTGCCGCGCCGTTGGCCAGAGCTGGGACCTGTGGATAGAGAAGACCGATCGATGATGAGGCAAGCAAGACAGATAATACAACGCTATGAATGGTCAGTTGTTTTTGGAGTCTTAAGTCAAGATTGAGAGTCTTACGTGAATACAGTACCAACAGAGTCGATCTCACCACTCTGATACATACGGAAACCCTGCCAGAAGGCCAAAGCATTTCCAGCGTACATGCAGAAGTAAGTTGATGAGCTCATGACACCGTACATGAAAGACTTCTTCTTTCCATGGACGTGAGCCTCTTTGAGATAGTCGTCATATCGCACTGTCATTCTGCCCTGTGCCCAGAAGGCATGGACCGTTCGTATGGAAGCCATGACCTCTTGGGCGAAGACATTGGCTTGGGAGTAACTACCCTGAACCTTTGCTTCGATGGGCGCATCAAGGGTCATTCCAACGCCAATGATGAAAAAGAAGAGAGGCACGACAGTCAAAGTGATGAGTGCCAGCTTCCACTGAACTGCTATCGCGACGACAAAGGATGAGACAAACATGGCCAGTCCTTGGATAAGAAGTGACAATTTCTCGGCAATGCCCTGGTTGATACGAGTAATATTGGTAGTCATCTGGGTCGCGGGTGATCCAACATTAGCCGTATCAAAGTACCAAATCTCGGTTCGAAGAAGATGTTCCAAGAAACGTTGTCGCAGTACTCGTGTTGTTCGGATTCCGGAAACGGTAACAGTCAAAGTGGCCAGATAGCTGAGGACAAATTTGCCCACAAAGAGATAGACAAACCATAGGACGAATGTGTTGACCTCATCCTGAAAGCCCTCGGGATCAAGCTTGCCACTCGCATAGTCGCTAAATCGGCCAGTGAATTGTCCAAAAACAATAGTCATCAAGGGGAGTGTTGCTCCAGAAGCAATGGAGCAGATAAGGGATGTGAAGTTGAGGATCCAGTCGAGGCGGTCGGCGAATCGAAAGACGCGCTGTAATGTGTAAGTCGTGAGTTCATCTACTCCAGTAGAATAGTCATACCCAAAGATCTCCAAGTTCAGCCTGCTTTTCAGGCTCATCCTTTTGTGTTGTTGTAGTTGAGTCCTCAACAAGGATCTTCTTCTCGTTGTCGGCGTCCATGATGGAAGTTAGTGGAGAATTTATTATGAAGGTGGTAAAAGAGAAGAGGAGAAGTTGAAACGAAGGCTAGAAGCCTAAAGGAACGCTCAAGAGAAAGAAGTGAAAGAACTGTCTAATTGAGATTGTTTAATGTCAAACTAAACGAGGGTGGCGATGTCTGGATACTTATTCACACTCCATGGACATGTCTGAGCTCACATATCTACGCAAGCAGGTCATACAGAATGGCTCATGCTGACTGCATTCCCATAATTTCGCTGCCAAGACAATCAATCCCATCCCTGAATACGCTGCAGCCTCAGAGGAGATGCCAAAAATAATTCATCAAAGGTGTACTAAATCTAGACTAATTTTACCTAAGCCTTTTTGTCGCTTAGGCTGCCTGTTAGCTCACTCGTTTGAACGGACCCGCGGGAGACACGGACAGCCAATCGATATGATCTGCGCTAACAGAATTAGGGGCATCTTGTAGGGCTCGGGACCACGGGCCCGCGCCTCCGAGGTAGCGAGGTGTCAGCATTCCCTCTCCTCCGCGAGCCCGTTCTCCCGCAACACAACCTTTGACCTCACATTGCATTAAATTTCGCTTAGTGGGTTAAACTTGGTTCGTTAGGGTCATGTCAGGAGAGGAGACTATTCTGGCTAGGCGAGCTAGGCTCTCCCAGGTCCCGCGAGCGGTACGTACTGCTCAGACAAAGCCCTCTTATCCCATTCTGGCTCAAGACACTGACAATGCAAAAGTGTGAAGCATGTAAAGTCCGCAAGGTGATTGGTATAACCAAACTGTTATCTTCATTCCTGACTCTCCTAGATTCGCTGTGACAGATCCCATCCTTGCGGAAACTGTAAAGCTGCAGGTATAGCCTGCCAACAAGCTCATTCTGTTCAGTCAGATGCACGTTCAAGGCCAGACAACCGAATAAGTCACTTGTAAGCCCGTTTGCTCTCTGTTCATTTACAATTACTCATATCTCCCAAAAGAGAAGAATATGTGGCTACTCTTGAAGCTAGACTGGTCAAGGTTGAGTTGCGTCTAGACAAACAACCTGAACAGCCATTGACTTCCACGCCTGCTTCAACATCCGCGCCCACGGGCCCGAAAGAGGCCTCTTCCATTTCTCCAGCTGGTTCTTCTGAGCCCAGTGTCTACGATGTAGCCCCATCTCCTGGTGGTGCATTGTACGAGGGAACATCGTCATTCCTTCAGCAATCTGTCCAGGCTAGCCAAGAGGTTCAGCGCTCTGCAGCTGCAGAGAGTCCTGAAGCAGCACAGACCATCAGCGAATCATTCAACCAGTTGAACTCTATCTTTAAAAGTCAAAATGATAAGAAGTTGCCATTCGCGGCCTCAACTCGACCCATGCCAGAAATTACACCTCTACCAGCTTCTGTTGTCCTTACTATTCTACGCAAGATCAAAGGCAGTAACCAACACACATTTAGAAACGACTGGCGATCCAATAACTAACCCGCTATATAGCTAATCCGACCAGATTCTTTCCTGGCCAAGCGCTCACTGACGTGCGTCTCATTGAGCATTTATGTCAAAAGGTCTACTTCCCAACGGAACCAGTAACCCTTGGACATATTACAAGCGTCAATGGCATCATGCGGTTACTCCTCCGCGAATTTATCATCACAAAGGATAGCCTTGCTGAAGAGCATAACCTGGAGGAACTGAAAGCGCAGGCTGAGCGAAACTTTGACCGAGGTCTGCAAACCTTTGAGCTTATGACGGTGCCCAGTTTTGAGAATATCCTGGCCATCACAGCCGCGGTTAGTTACTCTCAGATCGCCTTTGAGGCCAGGCTTTTAATCAATTCTTTTGTTCATTGTAGGTTCTCAAGATTCAAAACGAAGCCGCTCCTGTTCTGGCTCGTTCATTAGTCAACGCAGGCCTCAGTCACTGCCAGATGATGGGCTACCATCGAGAGGTAACCTATCAAAAAGACCAAAGTGGCTTCGCTGACAATAAGCGTCGACTTTTCTGGACGCTTTATGTCTTTGACAAGACTAACTCTCTTCATTTCGGTAATGCCTCAAGAGTCCAGGACTTCGAAGTTGACGCGCATTACCCTACAATACCGGACGACCCAGCCGAGAAGCCCTGGACCGAACTGTTTCGACTGGCTGTTAGGCTAGCCAAGATCCAAGGCTTGATATTTGATAAGCTTTATTCTGTTGCTGGCCTACAATCCCCTGCTGTAGACCGCAGACAATGGATTGATGCTTTGGTCGCCGACATGCACCAATGGCGATATGAATTGGACCATGTAGGCTTACCTTCCGGTATTTTAAATCGGTTTCGACCACTCAACTGACACGTGTGCAGATGGATGGAAGTACAGTGCGCTTTGTTGAGATTCTTAAGCTTTCAATGACCCATTGGGACATCATGTACTACTCAACTCTAACCATTCTGTTACGAGCTCCAGCAATGCCAGGAGTAGGTACAGACATGACATCCCAGTGCTTTCAAGCAGCAAGGCTCTCTCTACAAAGTCATCTTCGTGCATTCTCAGGCTACGGTGGCGACAAGATGCTCTCGAAAGCAGATTACATCGACTGGTAAGTCAGCCCTAGCCTGTTCAGATCCGACAGCTTACACTTGCAGGGCTCTTCATAACTCATCATTCACACCTTTCGTCGTTATATTCCTGCACTCGATAGCAGCATCTAGTCTTGAAGACGTAGAGCTTCTCGAGCAAGTAGTCACCACGTTCCGGAGCGCCCGAGATATGAACATTGGAGCTGAGAAGCTCTATCAAATCTGTTCTACCTTTGCACGGCTTGCCCGTCGAATGGTCGAATCTCGAAACACGTCGGTGGGCATGTACGATCAGAATAATGATACACTCCAGGTGGCTGGTGTGTCCGAAAATGTCCCCTTGACTTGGACGGATGTGGCTGGTGAGCCTTCGGAGCAACAGACTGGAAGTGATGGCTTTGCGGACTTTCTCACTGATGACATGACCAACATATTGGCTGATTGGATCAACGGACAGCCCCCTGCATCTGATATGTTTGCTATGGATTTTGGGGAGTGATCTTGTTGATAACTTGATTAGATGAGATCGAAGTTTAAAAGAACTAGATGCCTCGTCTTGAAACGCGTAACTGGTGGATCATTTCCATAAAATCAGGCAGCTGATTAATATGTGAGACTTCTCCAAGGCAACTATATTTGGTGAGACATTTGATGTTGCAGATTGAATAATATTGTTGCCTTAAATTCGGGGCCGTGGCAAATCCCTCATATCGCTCCCTAGCCTCAAGGCTACTGTGATAGCATTGGGATGAGATCCGCTCCCCCATGAGCAGTAAATTATCTGTCTGCCTGACTAGGCAGAGAGGCCCCCGGACAATTGAATATTTCTCCTAGATACTAAGCTCTAGTATCTAGTGAGAGCAAGAAGTTCTTTTGACTATTTAATGAATGTGATGTTCGCTGATATGTGCCTGCTGTTGGACATTTCAACCTATTTCACACTTCACAGCTCTCCAGTTCTCTTGGTTATATTGTTTTCTTTTTCTATCAGCGATAAATCTTGCAAGTCATACAAAATGGCGGTAAGTTCATTTGATTTTGCAGGTCATTAATCTTACTCTGACTCATTCCTTGTGTTAAGTCTGCTTCTGGGTAAGTACTGTCACTGAAATCATTCCCCAATCTATGACTAATCTTGATACACAGTGTTTTGATTGACCAAGACTGCGTCACCGCAGCCAATGATCTTCGATTTGCAAAGGGATCGAGTAAGATCAAGTTCGTTATCTTCAAGATCACCGACGACGAGCAGCGCGTTGTTGTTGAAGAGACGTCTCCTGATACTGAATATGGGACTTTCCGCCAGAAGCTTCTCTCGGCGGTTGACAAGTCTGGAAAATCGGCTCCGCGCTATGCTCTCTACGATGTCGATTACGACCTTGGGGAAGATGGGAAAAGGTGAGCTCTGCTGTGTTAGTACCGAAATTTACTGACAAAAGGTTACAGGACTAAGACGATCTTCATATCTTGGGTTCCACAGACCTCGCCTATCAAGGTAGGGCTGTCACATGCTAACTAGACTCAAACTTACTAACTAGAGAATTAGCTTCGCATGCTCTACGCCAGTACAATGGAATATTTGAAGAAGGCAGTCAATATGAGTGTTTTTATTCATGCTGATGATCAAGAGGACATTGAGTGGGAGGAGTTGGTCAAGGCTGCAAGTGGTGGCAAAGCCAAATGAGGCCACCATTCAGGACTCCAAGGCATGATTATTGGTTTTTACCAAGTAATTTAAAATGCCTCTCAAATTCATCTTTCTTTTTTATCTTTGTTCTAGACAAGGATCTGAAACAATCAAGCTTCTTCTCCCAGGGCTGATCTTGATCTTGATCTTGATCTTCTGATTGCACTAACAGCCAAAACGTGGCCAATGGCCGGTGCTAGTGCTGCACGATGCCATAAAATGACGTTATCGCCAACAAAACGTCAACGCCTTTCATCTCCTCACAACAGGATTGGATTGGCTCTTTTGTACCATACACACTCGCCACGCGTACTTTGATCCAGTGTGGCTGGAAAACCTGGAACTCCATCATCTTTGTCCTACAACCGACAACGTCATTATTTGTTGCAGGTGCTGTGAACTTTATTTATTTGTTTGTATTATTACTCCGAACCCCAAGGTTTCTGCTTCTGAGACGGAATCATTGATAACCTACATCGATATTCAAGATGCCGCGTACCCTATTGCTTTGTTTTATCCACGGGTTCAAGGTGCGATAGTCGCATGTCTTTCACCATTAGCTACTGACATTGTTAGGGTACCGATAACACCTTTCATGAATTTCCTTATGTGAGTGGCGACCCACGCTAAATGCGACAAGCCTTCATAGCTTAGACTTACACTATCAAAGGATCTCAAAAAAGCAGTCGCCAGAGAACTCCCAGACGAAAAGATTGAATCCATCGTATATCCCAAGTATGAGACTACTGGTGAATTGGCTCAGGCCGCAGAAGGCTTTCTAGAGTGGTAGGTCGACTCGGATAAATCAAACACACCCGGACTGTTAACCCTCAATACAGGCTCAAGGAGCAGGTCATGGAGATCCGAAAGAGGAAGTCGGAAAAGCCATGGCCTCCTCATGACAGAGATGTAGGAGTTGTTCTCGTTGCTCACTCGATGGGGTAAGTTGATCAGACCAGACTCACCCTTATACACCCTCTAACACTCTACTAGGGGCTTCGTCGCAGCAGATACTCTGTTCCTAGCCATCAACGACAGAGCTAACAATGGAGACGAGAACGATCCCTTGTTTCCACTCATCCAAGGCATCCTCACATTCGACACTCCTTACAATGGTCTCGCCCGCTCCATGTTCGTCTATGGCGCTTTCTCCAATTATCAAAAAGTCAACAGCGTCTTCAATGTCATGACAGCGATCTCTGCAGCTGCACCTGCTAGTCTTGCAAGACTTAGCGCTCGACGTGCTGCAACCACTGCTGTTACCAGCAGTACACGGGGACCTCAGTGGAAGACATGGCAGCTTGTAGCTGTCAAAACGGGTACTGTAGGCGCCATCGCAGCTGGTGGTGTGGCAGCGTACATGAACCGAGAGGCCATCATTCAGGGGATGAAGAGCATGAAGAACATAAACAAAGAGTCTGTTGCCGAAAGCTACCGTCAGGGAATGGATGCTCTCGGACAAGGTCTGGCTTATATCAACCGCGGAAATGTCGGAAAGTCTTTCGCCTGGCTCTCAGATCATGTCACATTTGTTGGTGCACTCCTCCGACAAAAAGAGCTGAACCGTCGACTTGAACGCATCGGCTCGCTCAAGGGTGTTGGAATGCACGACTTTTACTGTTCTCTTGGTGAGAATGGCTACTGGAGTGGAGGATACTTTGTCCCTGAGCGGACATTCTGTGCTGTTCCTGAGGAGAGCCACTCAGCTTACCCAATCTTCGAAAGATGCGTCATGCCCAAGGCTGAAGATGAGATTGAGGCGCACCTCAACATGTTCAGGCCTGAGAGACATCGAGGCTACGAGGAGATGACGGACAAGTCGGCCGAGCTCATCAAAGAGTGGTTCCAGAGCGAAGAGAACGTCTTCGATGATCCGAAATTCCGCGAGACACCTCCTGAAGAAACAGAAGAGACCGAGACTACCAAGGAGATTCTTGAGAAGGATCCTGGCCAAACTGAAGGAGACGAGAAGGCTGAGGGCGCAAATGACAAAGATGGCGACAATGACACGGGACTCCCAGACGAATCACCGCTGGACATCGCCAACGCCGCCTCACTCGTACCCCTCCCTGACGACAAGGGTGAAGGCATCGTGGGCGATGCAGATATCGAGAGCGCTGACACGGTTGAGAAGCGAACCTACCTCAACTATCTCTTCGGCGTGGCTCAGCAAACCGGCGCCGACGCCAAGGGTTGGCTGCCAAACAAGATTCCGCAGATGCCAAACCTACCCAGCATGCCCAACATGCCAAGTATGCCCAAGGTGCCTAGCTCCGTGTCATCACTGGGCAATGTTTCCATGCCCAGCGTGAGAATCTGGGGAAAGAAGGATGGTGAAGCTCAGGAAGAAAGTAAAGAGGCTCAAGGGAATGAGAACCAGGCTGTCGAGGATAAAGGTGACCAAGGTGGCAAGAATGATGCCACAGAGGAAAACGCCACTGTACCTCAAGACGGGGGCAACGATGGCCCCCAGGAAAGCATTAGGGACAACGCCGAGGTTGTTCAAAAGGTCAATGAGGACGCTGAGAAGAAATCAGATTAGGTTGGTGGGAATTCCATGAGTTTGGGTGTATGGTTTTGTTCGCCTGCTTGCTGCTTACTGTTTCAAGATTAATAATCCTGGCTGTCCTATAGGTCAAAGAGATATCACTTTTTCTGCTTTTGAATGATAGTCCTAAGCTTAGCCTAGATATGTTAGAGTCTAATTCTGTTGAACTTGTATATTTCCCAGCAACATGAGATCGGCTTTATAAGCCTAAATGCATTACCCATCCAACTAATACATACATATCAAGCGAACAGCTGAGCATCAAGATATAGTCGTGATGTCATTGTGCTTTCGAGGCTTGCGGCTGATAATAATGCCGAGTTCCGTGTCTGTGACGCGTCTTGCAGCCTTATTCCTCCCTAGATATTTACGCCCTCAACTCACCCCGCTTTAACCGCCTGTGGCATAACGTCAACTCAGTTTACCCTCGGATAGAGCCCCAATATTCCGGACGATCTAACTCAAAACTACCTACTTCGCTATGCGCAGGCCAGTTCCCCTTTTACCTAGCCCTTCTAAGCCAGCGGAATCCCAGACCGCTGCAGTTGTGACCCAAACAGAAATCGTTTTGCGGAAGCGCAAACGGCCCGTGTCTTCAGCCTGCGAAGAATGTCGCAAACGGAAGTCAAAAGTAAGCTTGCCCTTTCTTTTTGAAGAGAGATCTCGGCTGATATGTACAGTGCAATGTTCCGTGGCCTTGTACACCTTGTCTGCATCGCAATACAGATTGTCACTTCGGTCCAAAAGCCGATTTGGAGATGCATCATCGGGCCCTGCAACGTAAATACTCCGATGTACAGGCTGAAAACACCCACTTTCAAGCCGTGTATTCGCTGCTGCGCGAGAAGCCCGAGAATATAGCACTCGCTATCTTGCGGCGAATTCGGGCAGGAACGGATCCAGATGCTATCTTGAGCTTGATGGAAAATGGGGATCTACTAATGCAGTTGCACCTGGCCCCTTCATCTCAGTTCCGCTATGCATTCCCATACCGGAGTGCATTGCCTAGCATCCCAGTCGGAACGAAGAGTGCATACATGGAAGCCTTGGCCCTCGAGGCGCCATATCCTGGACAGGAGCCTTCAGAACCGTGTGATTATCAACCAATCTCGGATTTAGAGGCCCCACGTTATATGCCATACCTCTCTGCAAAACTAGTTGAGCCAATGCTAGATATCGCTACGATCTCTGCCTGGACGACAGTGTGCACAGATGAGTCTTTGCTACACAGTCTCATGGAAGCTTATATCCTTCATATATATTCCGCGTTCCCTTTTTTTCACAAAGACTGCTTCATACGAGATCTGGTTTCTGGATCTAAACGTTTCTGCTCCAGCCTACTTGTTAATGCTGTCTTAGCTCATGCTTGTCACGCTACACCCAAATGTGCGCACCGCAATGAGCATTGGAACCCGCAGAATATTGGCTATCTATTCCTCGCCGAGGCCCGCCGCTTATTGGAACTTGAAACCGCTCGATCAAAAATCACAACAGTTCAGGCGATGCTTGTGATGAACATTATCATGAACGATCATGGTGTTGACGGCGCCTCATACCAGTACCTAACTAAGGCCGTAGCTCTCGCAAAGCGCATGGGTCTGTTCAACTCGTCCAGTGATGATATGGAACACGATGTGGACCCAAGTACTAAGGTTGTTCGTGAAGTGACAGCCTGGGCCCTTTTCGCTTGGCAAGGGTGGTCTTCCTACGTTCCCCCTTTGGATCTGAAGCTGAGATCAAAAACAGAGTCATGTCCTCCATGCTTTATGAACCGCCTCTGATCACAGAGCCACCTCAGACATCCTATCCGGACCCCTTCGAAATGCCATCCTGGTATAGTGATCTCCGAGTTCGATACCCCTCAAGCCAAGAAGTCATATCAACCAGGAATCACCAAACGTTCAAGGCTTACCTGGAGTTCTGGGCCATATTCAACGATATTGCCTCCGTTTCGTTTCCGCCTGGACGAGACCGGTCATTTTCCCTCAGTCAGGCAGTTGACTTCTATGCTCGATCACGGTCCTGGTTCGAGGGTCTACCAAATGACTTGCAGCCAGGGAAAATAGTCCTACCTTGTCAACTAAAGCTACAGTATGTAATTGACTTTTGTTCAAGTTGCTTTCTAATCGCTTCAGTATTCAATATTGGCTTCTTTTGATGGATCTCTTCAAGCCATTTGCAGACTGGGACCAGCGCATGGAAGGACTGGATAAGACATCCTCAGAAATATATCGGGACGCTCGGTGGAACCAAGCCTACGTGCTACGGATTTATTACCTGCGTCATGGGACAGAAGCTTACGACTGTTGGTTCTCTATGTTTCTTTTCAAGCTTGGTTTTGTCGCGCTACAAGAAGTGGCATCTTCTTCAGACCGCGATGCCTCGCTTTCAAACCTGATCCTGGCACTAACGAGCCTCGATAACCAAGGTAAATGTTGTTTCATGTCAGAGTTCACGCTACGAACGATCTGTGCACAGATGCGTTCTGAAGACCTCGCGATCTTCAAGCAATTCGCAACCTTTGAAGATCTCGATGACCCTCAGGCCATAGCAAGTCGCATGAGCCTTATTAGATCAAATTGGCCCGTAAACATGGATTTTGCCAAACGAGAGCGGAAGAGCCTCCGCGATGTAGCTGCTGAGGCCATAGGGATGGTTATGACAGACGATGAGTAGCCCTGTACCAGCAGGACAGTAAACTTGGCCAGGAAGAAAAACAAGTAAGTCTATTAGGACTGACACACTATATCTCTGAACCAGTTCCTAGATTGGGCGTCTTGGTTAGACAGTACAGTTAGAGACCCAAAAGCCCCTTACTATCGGGCCCTTTCAAGAATTGCATGCTTGGGTCAATAGCGGTAGTGAGAGTAGGGAAGACGGAAAAGGTTGACCAAGATTGTTAGGGATGCTCACAGCGCAGGGTATCATTCCTCTATTAGGGACTAGTTTGGTATGAAAACAAAAAGCATTTTAAATTTCTCTTGCCAGGTATCAGCTCAATTTCAAGAGTCTCCCGAATTTTCCGATTTACATACTGCTGCTAGTGTTTTAAATCTCAAAATCACTAAAAGAATTCATCTTATAGCGAGAGGTGCATTCTGCAAGCGAACTAGCCTATACAAGACCCATTGATTATAACTTAAATCACACTAGTTATAAGTAAGATTCTATCAAATTCCCAACTTGACAATCCCCGGAGCTGTCTCGATAAGACAAGCTACAACTGGCAGACGCCTCCTCGCAAGTTATTATCAAATAACAATCTTCCCCTTCCCACGACTAACGCAACTCAGCATAGACCCCTTCTTCTGCTCCTCGTCTAGAGCCACGCCCTTATGATCAACGTCTCCTTTGTAATAGTCCACCATGCATGTGCCACAGTTCCCTACCAGACATGACGACTCTATCTCAAACCCAGCATCGGAAAGAACCTGAAGAAGGGACTTCTCTCGAGGTACCTGGACTGTTTGACCAGTTGATTTGATTTCTACCTCGAATGGATCCCCAGTTCCTGTTGTGGCGTCGCCAAACTCTTCGAAGTGGACGTTGGCCTCTGGATATCCACTGTCGGTAGTCAGGTTACGGCAAGCGTTCATGAGGGATGTTGGGCCGCAGCAATAGACAATAGGTCTGCGACCCATATCAACCGTAGGCTCAGGGATGATTTGGCTGAGAATAAGTCGTTGGCCTTGGTCTTTTGCATAAATGGTCGTTTTGTCGAGTGGTAGGCGACTCAAGTAGGCCGCATCGTTACGGCTCCGCACAGCATAATGAACCTCAACTTCAACCAGCCCCCGAGATAGCTTTTCGATCTCCCCAAGAAAGGCTGTAACTCCGATACCACCTATGATGAAGATATGCTTGGACGCCAAGGTTTCCATCTTTTCCTTCTGTGTTGCAGTACCATTGTGCCCTGGGGCGACTTTGATTATATCTCCAATATTCAGGTTATCATGGAGATAGATGGATCCACCTCTCGAATTATCATCCCGAGCGATACCAAGTTCAAATCGCCTCGTGGTTCCGGATACGACAGAGTAAGCGCGAGACATGTTTCCATCTGGGCCAAACTGGACTCGCACAAAGGGAAATTGGCCAAACACCGAGTCCTCGTTTTGTTCCTGAGATTCAAGGATGAAAGATTTGATCCTCGGAGTCAGTTCCGTTTTGCTGGCCAGCTTGTAAGGCCTCCAGACAACAGGGACTCGATCACCTTCAAGGCGACCACTCATATCCTCAGTACCGTGATCGATTCGGTCCTGAAATATCCCTACCATCTCTTCAGACATGGCAGGGAGTGATACCAGTTCTTGAAAAGTTTCAATGTTGTCCTTTTCATGGTAAAGGTACTTCTGAACTCGTGAGAGGGACCATGTTGGGTTAATACGTTCAACGAGCTCCATAGCATCGCCTTGCTCGATAAACCCAGTTTCAAGAACACGGTAGTACCATCCTGTTCGGCCACTTGACTGCGTCATCGCCGAGATCTTCTTGTGCTGAAAGCGATGATTGAGCTTGTAGCACGGCTGTCTCGGTCCAGAAACCTGGATGATCACATCCCGCCCTATACGAAATATGTCTCCAATGCAGACGTTCGTCTCAGACATGTTCATTGCAGATAGATTCTCTCCAAAGCCACCGATTTTGAAGAGATCCTCTCGACCAGGCAGCTCAGCGTTCCAGACATCGTAGTGAGCGGCACAGTACTGATGCAGAGCCTTTTCAGGACCACCATGATGAATGAACTGCTGCTCATCGCCGACGAGTCCAACAGGGGTTACTTCCCATTTTCCTTGCCGCGCTCGTTTGTTAATGGCGGTGCGGATGTTTACACCGCCGAGCGGGCGGATTTTGCCTGTTCGCAAGCTGAGAAGGGTATCTGCGGGAGGGAGAGGGGCTAGACCTACAGCGGAGCTTTCATTGGTGGGAGACATGTTGCTAATGTTTATTTCTGTCTTTTTTCGAGTATGATGATTGATTGAGGATGCTAGAATTGAGTCAACTTGGTTGAGGTATTTGAGAAAATGTTGTGTGAAGGATCAGCAGGCAGCCATCCACTTAACCTGATCAAGCAAGGTCCCTCAAAAGTTCCCGTATCTTATCGCTAAGAGTAATCGACTACCATCCCAATTGCGAGTCAGTAATGCTACTATATCATTCACTATTGATGTAACGTTTCAACTGAAATCTACCCAGTCCTGAGGGCAGAGGCATGAACACATCCTGTTTTCTTGTTTGCTTCTTTCTTGATCATCCATGAAAACCCTCGAGCCTTTCCAATATCTCTTCTCTCTTTACTAAGCTCATCATCAATCATGTTATTCAGTACGGAGCCAGGTTTTCTGTAGAGCAGATAGCTAAACCAGCATGGGCCTTATTCGATCACAATCCTTTCAGATTCCCTCCCAATGCCAAACATTCTCGACATCTCCTGTCTTCCCTCTAATACTCGTCTGGCTTCTCCACGAAGTTCCGCAGACTCAGCGAGCACTGAAAACAAGCTCGTACAGTTCATCCACCTCTGCTCCATGATCGCAACCGCTTCTTCCTCGTTTTGATAACCTCCCAGCCATTCCTCCGATAACTGAGAAATCTCATCAAACTTCATCGGCATCAAAAACATTGTCTCTTTCTTAGCACCTGTGGGGAATAGCTGACTGAAAGTGTTGAAGAGGAACTCGTGCGCTTTCTTCAACGTTCGAAGCTTCGCCTCTGCTAGCGAGCGCTGGGCGTCGGCGTCGCCCTTCCATCCTCGGCCACAGAAGGTTGCTGAAAAGCGGCCAAAAGTCCTGTGCCAGTGCTGTATTTCCCGAGTGGTTTTCGTAATATCCAGTTCTTTCACCAGCTTCTCAACAGCATCAAAGGCTTCCGAGTTCCAAAAATTCATGAGCTCCGCGAACTCTGACACTAAGTTGTCCACTAGCACCGATTGTCGGTTTGTCTTCCAGCCAGGGCTTGCTTCCAATTCAAGCCGCCACTCTTGTCTTTCTCCTGAAAAGCCCGATACCTGTGTACCAGTGAGAACTGAGTGTCTGACGAAGAAGTTCCAGGCATGGATTTCTTCGTCTTTCAGGGAAGAGGATTCATCTTCGTTGGCATCAGACGATTGGCTTCTCGACTTGACCATACGCCTCCAGTGATAAAGAAATTTGATAATCTCCAGCGTAAGTGGATATGAGACTTCCAAGGTACAGATTCTGTCAAAATCAGGATGGTTGCTGTAAAGATGGTCCTTGCCCATCGGATAGATGATAGCTGAGGCACATGGATAAAGGAGTTCGTATGTGACGCTATCTCCATCTCGTACATGCTTGTTAGCGAGGAAGGGCATTCTGCAGCCGGATATCTTGACCAAAGAAAGGAGGTCACTCAAGCCCAGCATGCGTTCTGGCTGAACTCGGAACTTTGACATGGGCCCACTGGTGGCAAGGGAAACGGAGTTGTTGAGCATATGATAATTAGCCTCACGAAACTGGCCATCGACTGTGCCGTTTTCATCCCCAGACATGAAGCTGGCGTAATATAGAACGGCGATCTCATACCCGGCTGTGATAAGGCAGCCTGTCTCTGCATCTACAGCCTTGAAGCTTTGTGTCGGGCTCAAGTTTCCTGCTGTGTCATGGTTGGTTAAGAATGGGATAGTTCTGAATTGCTGAGAGGGAGGGTTCCCGGTCAACGATGAGAGAATATGATCCCGATGCCAACGCACTTTCCAGCCAAGCTCTATCTCACCCAATCGCTCCGATAGGTCGACTGAGTTGTAGGCAGTCTCTTGTAAGTCCCACATGGGAACCCAACTAGGGATGCCGTACTTGGAACGAAGTTTGAGGTTTGTCATAGACTCAGCAAGTTCAATGACGTTGTGCCAGTTTCTTTGCTGGATGAGGTATAGGGCAGTCCCAATGTATACTTCTCGTACCATCAGCTTGTAATTTGCCTTCAGTACATCGACTTCATTGCCATCAGTCAACCCAAGTAGGCCGAATATCTTATCTCGCATATCGCTCATCTTGCAAAGAGCGGTTGCAGACAGGAGCTCCAGCATGTCGCCCTTTGATTGTGCTCCAATCCAGCCGATTTTTGTCAGCCACCAAGGGACTTCGGCGTTGTGTAACTTTGCTTTAATAAACACGTCCCTAGAAATTGGCGTTGTTGAATCGCCGCAGTGAATGGTGATGGATCGGGCGAGTAGGATTTCTTGTACCACCCATAAGCGAGAAAAGAACGGTCTTCTTAAGAGTCTTCCAAGGGCCTCCTCGGCGTTATCTTTAAACTGTCTCGAGGCCAGTTTGGAAGACCTGAGCTCATCTTTGAGAAGGGTTATTGCCCCAACCTCTCCACCTTCGACGTTATCAGGGTCTTCACCCACGTATCCGTGTACTTCCGTTGCCTGCGAGAATATGGTGCCCATCATGGCAACCTGTTCAGACCTTTCACCAAGGTCAGATTGATTGATACAAACGGCATCCACCCATATCAGCAAAGACTCGGTCTTGCGGCGTAGATGGCTCAGTGCTTGATGACAATTACGCGTGATGGGCAGAGCTCTGTTACCAAGGCCGATAAAAATGCGCTGACAGAGGGAAGCATCATTGTTGTCATCTGCCCATGTATACGATAAAGCTTCATAGGCTGGCATTTGCTCCACGTCGACTACCTGAAATCGGCCTTCAAGGGCCTTTTCTCGAGGCGCCGGTAAGAGCTCCAGAAGCCGGATATGGGAGCGCTCTGTCAACTTGGGATAAATGACAGGGAGTATCTGATTTAACCGGTGAGATTTCAGTACTTGCTGCAGGTGTCAGAGCTCACCTCTCGCCCGTAAGCATCGCTCACTTCTCCCACTCGATAAGTAACTCCCGTGGCCACTTTTGGGTAATTGGCTTTGACGAGGCACAAAGCCTTTTCGATATCTTGACTGAATGATTCTTGAGGGTATTCGACACATTCTGGCCATGACAAGCGCTTTATGGACTCTTTGTGCGTGTCGTCGTAACTCGCAGGCTCTGGGGTTGCACATTCGCCAATCGAGTCAGCGAAGAACGTGAGAGGACCAACTGTTCCGCAGGCTTGGCACGTCCAAAGGTCATTGTCAAATGGAACAGGGTCCATTCGACGACAATCGGGGTCATGCCATTCCATTTTGATAGCTCTCGATAATGATGTGCCGGTTTTCAAGGGTGATGATATGTTTGTTTTCAAGCGGGGTTCAGAGGTTTTATGCTGGAATGAGGCTGTGTCACAAGGCAGACAGACAGTTGGATGCCTCTATACAGGTCAAGCATTGGCTTCATCTCGCTGCGGTGTTTCGTTTCAATGGTCTGCGTTATTTGCTTGAAAGTGCCTTCATTTGCGTTTTCCTTAAAATGCTACATACTCAATTTCAAGTCATGCCGAATGCAGTCCTCCACTATCCTATCCCAGTGGCCAGCAAGTCCATACGTATTACAATTATGCCATCGACGTATCATCCTCCAATCCCAATACAAACATCTGTTCGCGTATAATTCCATCACTTCTCGAAGACATGAACGGCCTTCTTGTTGTTCCGTCTGATGTTGTCCCGCTCCTCCTTTGCAATGCAAGTCTGGCAAATAACAGCGTCGACATATGAAGTGAAGGCCACACCGAAGCATCTCCCGACGTAGCAGTTGGCCTTTGGATCGCGGAACGACCCCGGAGATCTCAAACCGCAGTTCTCAATTGGGTCTAGAATGGCAGTTGTGTAGCCACATCGACTGCACTCTTCCACATTTTCTGTCTGGGTGCACATGTTGAATTTTGCAGTAATGACTGGGTTGGTTTGATGGTGGTTTGAGAGTGTGCAGTTGCGTTGCGTGGTAGAGAGTTTTCTTCAGAGACTGGTAGATAATCGAAAGGTGTCCAGATCAAGCATGGGGGGGACTGTTGGACCCGGACCCCAGATATATAACTCCATGTCAGCTGGTTCGCAACATGATCAGTGCGAGCGGGATCGGGATTCCTGCCTAGACGAGGCAGACGCAGACACGGACGAAATTGAAAGTGAGGCGGTGTGATTTGCTCATTTTTGATTACACTGTTACACAATCAGTTTTCTCTTCTCACAAATGATACATGCAGATATTTCACCCAAGTCCGAATGTTGTTGCATCACAGGGACGTTGGACGTGACATTTGTGTCAATAATTGATAGGCTTATTGGCAAATTGACCATTGGTGCGGATTTTATTGATCACCTTCAAGGTTGTATTGCCACGCCGCATCAATATATGTCGGTTCTCGTTATCATTTCCAAACAAGGCTGATCCGTGCAAATCCTCACTGTGACATTGCACTTCTCACGCAACGTCTCACAAACTTCCCCTCTCAATTTCCATGCATGCACAACAATGCCTGCCTCCTTGATTTCGCATATTTCCAAAAACGTTGCTCTACATATATGACACTCCACAATGGAAGCAACAAACCGTTCTTGAAGATATCATGATCTGCCGATAAAGATGTCCCACGGAAGCAACAGGTGGCAAGTAAATCGCCAGGGGTATAAGCTGCAACCCTTCCGGTCTGGAACCTGGTTATCGGGCGAGGTGGCTGGCCTCGGTTAGAAGCACGAACCTCAGTGCCTGTTGCCGTAGGACTTATCTTCCTCCGAGATGCATGCTTCATGTAGCTGGCCATCATTTTCGAATGATCAAGTTGCTGCGAGGAGCTATATGAGAGGAATATGCTACCACATTGACGACTGAATAGGAAATCCTGTTTAGCGAGGATACATTCGTGCTTCACACCAAAACCGCGCCCTTGATATTCAAGGCGAGTGATTCTCAGGCCTCAATATATCAACAGAGCAGGAATGAAGGTCTGAGGGGTACCTCGTGAGAACCTTTTTTTCGACATCTTATCGTGTAGGCATGACTTGACACGACGCAGAAACAACCAACAGGTTTTCTCCGGCGATTCACATGTGGAAGAGGATGGAAAGCTTATGAGCAGTTTAACCCACCGGGGTGCCCTTTTTTGTCTTCGAGAGTTCTTTTTAAAATCTCAACGGCAAATAATACACCCACTACCTAGTTCAAGTAAGTACAAAATACCTAAGATGAGGCAAATCTCTTCAAGTCGTTAACTGTGTGAGTCTGTGTCACATCATTATCTTCTGCCTCAGGCATGCAGGACTCAGTTGTATCTGCAACCCCCAAATGTTGCATGTTCTCTCACTCGCATACCATTGAGTAACCTGCCCAATGTCTAATTCTACCGCTTCCTCCGTTGCAGTTACCAAAGCCCAGCAACGTTTTGACCATCCTGCATGGACATTGAATGGAGAAGCTTGGGAGAAACCATACAAGCGGCTTTTTCTCAAATCGACCTGTCATCAGGTTGTGTCTTTTGTCGAGGATGTTTGCGATCAGACTGCATCCTTAGTCCCTCCAATCACCTTGGGCGGGTACAATGTTCTCTATACAGTCCGCTGCGATGGAGATGGCTTCGATATTGTTGTTCGGCAACCGTGCCCCGATCTGGTACAGTTCCGGGAAGAAAAGACTCGCGATGAAGGTGCAACCATATCTTACCTTGCCCAAAACAGTGCTGTACGGGTTCCTGAACTCTTCTTTCACGCTTCGTCATCACGCATCGGACCAGCTATGATCTTATTATTCATAAAAAGTGAGCGGAGCATGTCAGACGCCCTCGCGGACCCTGGCCAGGATCCGGGAGAGATACGGGTTCTGGACCCAGAGATACATGAAGAGGATCTGAGAAGGCTTTACGGGAAGATGCGTAGGCTTCTGATCCTGCTCTTCGAGCCAACCCTACATACGATCGGGTCATTGGTCGAGTTTGGTAACAACCATTCAGTGGCTGGTCGACCAATCACCCACAATATGAACGACATGGTATGCAAGTCTTCTATTCCAAAATTAGTCCTTCCATCATCGAGCCAGGTGTATCACAGTGCCGATGAATGGTACGCCGCTTCGGCAGCTATGCACATGGCTCAGTTGCTTTTCCAGCATAACGATCTTGTTGACTCGGAGGACGACTGCCGAAACAAGTATGTGGCACGATACTTGTTTCATTTACTCGCAAAGAAGGGTCATCTGTCTGCTTTTGGGTTTCTTGAGGATAATTGGTCAGCCCAGTCCCAGTCTTTGGAATTATCGTGCTCAATGCCTTGTGGAACTGACTCTTTTCGACTGTGGTGCGACGATCTGAGGCCCCATAATATTCTTTTAGACCATCACGACAATATTGTGGCAGCTCTTGACTGGGAGTTCGCATATTCCGCTCCTACGCAATTCAGCCTCGATCCGCCCTGGTGGCTGTTGCTGCAGCTTCCAGAGCTGGCCGTCTGGAATCGATGATTGGTCGCAGGTCTACGAAGCCAGACTCAGAACCTGGCTACTTTCAATGGAAGATGAGGAATGGGGAGAGGGAATCAACTTTCTGGCACACCTATCTATTTATATGCGTGAGAGCTGGTTGAGTGGTCGCTTCTGGCTTGACTACGCTACGAGAAAGAGTTGGGCATTCGATACAATGTTCTGGAAGTACTTGGATGATAAGTTCTTTGGGTCGAGAGATGAGGATATACAAGAATCTCAGTTTTGGACGGCAAGGGTTCATCTTCTAGGGAAAGAGGCACAAAAGTCTATGGAAATGGTCGTGGAAAGGAAGATGAATGACGCAAAAGAGAGAGTCCTAGTAGATTGGGATCCGGCTACAGCGAAGCAACTTCTCCAAGAGGCATTGGGAGATTATTCAGGTTCGCAGTCGTAAAAGTGAAGTCCTTTCAATGCAACCATAGATGTTTGATGAAGCGTCTCATCCTGCGGCTGTTCGCATCCCACATTGGCGTCACTACTGAAGTCGTAAGATACGTTGGAAATCACCGCTTGAGTTATCTACTATTAATCAGCAGATCCAATTGTTTAATGAAGTGGACCACTGATGGATGGCCTAGAATCCTCCGATTGCGGGTTTAATCAATTGCCAATTCGTCCAACTGATTGCGCCATACATCTGAAATGGCCTCATCACTATCAGTACTTACTGGAATACTACAATGGTAACTTCTTATCTTCTCTTATAAAACACAAGAAAACTCTGTATCTGTTTTCAATCATTGAAGTCATCTTGGTCGTTAACTTAAACTCATTGCTCGTCTATATATGTCCACTCGCCACCATGACTGTTAAGAACACTACAAATGGCAATGGCAATGGCAATGGCAATATCAGAGCTGCTATCATCGGTGGAGGTCCAGGTGGCTTAGGTGCCGCAATTGCCCTCGCCAAGTTATCCTTCGTTGATTGGACTCTGTATGAGAAGAAGCCCGAGATCAGTGAGACAGGCGGCGGTATCAGTCTTCAACCACATACATGGAAGATGCTTGAATGGAACGGGTCATCCAAGAACATTAAGCCCAGTGACTTGTTCAGGTCTCCCGAAGGTATCAGTGGACAACAGCGGTAAGTCATTTTGCAAGTGGGCAGGGGACTTCAAAGCTGACTGTATCAGCAACGGGCGAACGGGTGAGCTTATTGAGCAAAGCTATCATCCCGAAGATACACCCATTCACCGACGCAGTGGCCGTCAGAGGAGATCAAAGCTACAGGCAGCTCTTCTTAAAGAGGTCGATGAGTCAAAAATCAAGCTCTCCAAGAAGCTCGTGGGCATTGAAAAACTGTCAAGTGGCAGAGTAATCATCCGATTTGAGGATGGCTTTACGGATGAGGTTGATTTCTTGATTGCTGCAGATGGCATAAGATCGGTAAGTAAAGCAATCAGGGAATCAATATCAAAAAGCTGACACCATCCAGGTCGTCCGGTCGTTTACTTTTCCTTCGCACAAAATCAAATACAATGGCCAGTCCGCATATCGCACCATCATCAGCAAGTCTGAAGTTAATGCTCTTGGCACAATCCCCCATGCGTCAACATTCTGGCAGAATCTAGGCGGTAGATACGTGTTTACGAGTCCGCTTGGAGACGACGACTTTGAAGTCACAGCACGTATCTCCCGGCCGTCAGAAGGCCAGGACCACGTCAGCTGGGGTCGACCCTTTGACTTCAGCACACTTGTCCACGAGTACGATGGATTCTGCGAGCCCGTTCGCCAAGTTGTGCAGTTAGCAGCAAAGGGGGAGACTCAAGAATTTGCTCTGTTCTCTGGGCCGCGACTGGATCGAGTAGTTGCTCTTGATTCGATAGCCCTGATCGGAGATGCTTCGCATCCCTTGTCAGGAGCATTTGGGGCGGGAGCCGGATTTGCCCTTGAGGATGTGTATACACTGTCCAAAACTCTTGAGTGGGCTTGGACTCAAGGTGGAGGTATTAAAGCTGCACTGGAGTTATACGATCGCATCAGGTCACCGCATTACCATGATCTATATAATGTCCTGGACTGGTATGCAGGCATTGGCAAGGAGATTGCGGCAGAAGGGCTATCCGTAGACGACGAAATTGAGGCAAAGGTGAGAAGAACAAAGGGCAAGAAATCGAACTGGATGTATTATTACGACATCCAGACTGTCGTTGATAATGTTCTTGATGGCTTGGATAGCAAGGAAAACTGAGCTACCGAGTAGCGGCATTCAGTTCCCCAACAAATCTTTACATACAAGCATCGCATTGCGCATTATCAATATCTTACGCGTATAATATCTTCAAATGTTGCAAGGAACAGAAAATGTTGAGCTTCGTCTTTTCTGTGTCACAGGAACGGTCGCTGTCACGCCCGCAAGTCACAAGGCCTCTGTGACCGGCTGCACCGGACACAACAGAAAGGCGTTCAATTACCACGATGCAAGGCTGGCGGGAATCAATTGCCGGGAACCCTTTAAAGGCATGGGACATTATTGTCCAAGCCCAGCCGGTTTTGAATGCGGATCATCCGGTTCCGAAAAGTGTCATGCAGTTGATGGCCAACACGTCTAGTGTGGAGTCTACCACTTAAGCGGAATCGGCCGAGATGGACAGATAAAAACCGCGGGTTTAGATGGAAATCGGGAGACGATGCAAGTCAAGTAACGTGAAGATGTTGGTGTAAGAGAAACAACGTGACATAGGAGGTGAGCAAAAGAATGCGGTGAGGAAAAGGACAGGACGAGACTTGCATGAATAATGCGAGCAAGTGGACTTGGAGCTGACCATGGCATTATGCGCTTCTTCGCGCGAATATCGTGTCAAGAGAACAGCTAAAATAGTTAGATGCAAATGATCAACATATTGACGATCTTTAGCTACGGCGTTTGATACTGTAGATCTTCCAGAATGGGGAAACGGACGATATTTACTATGACGTTCCGAGACGTGGCTGGTCAGAGTAGCATCTTGACAGCCAAGTACTCACCCTGCACCATTCTGTTAGAAGTGGTGATGCTGGCAGGGTCTCGGAAACACTCTTGCATGCGGCTGCTGTTGCGGATTGGATGAAACATCCATTCACGATGTTTGCTGGGTTGGTGAATGACGGTGAACAAGTGAGCGCATGATGAAGAGAATTACGCGGGTAACAGTCCAGCTCTGTCTGTCAGTCTGATGCATTCACAAGTACGTCAATGAATCCTTCTGAAGGCCAGAGTAAACCACGCCACTTCAGAGGCTCAGCAATTTACAACGTTCTGACGATAAATAAAAAAAAAACGTGGCATGTTGGACGAGAAGCGTTTTGGGACGACCTGAGTTGGGGTTGGTTGTGCTGTCGTTGCACTCTGGTGAAGAATGGTGATGACGATGATGTCGATCTTATCATGATGGTGGGTGTGATGGCGACAATTGCGTCACAGCTGTCACTGGCCTAACTAATACTGAGGGTACTCCTAGAACTTTCCTTGCAGTGAAGCCATCCATTCTCACTGAGTTAACAAGAAACATTGATTGAGCTGAAACTGGAGATTAACTCAAGACAACGCACGCATAATAAGACAATGCCAATAACCAAGACATGCATGAAAGTTTCCGTGGGCTCCATCTTGTCAGTCCAGGCAGTATCCGACAGGGGAATTATGGTCTAGGCTCTAGTGAGGTACTTTGACGATACTTGGCTCGCAAACTAAGACAAAATTCGGAGTCAGAAGCCATCCGCTGAACCCGATAGGAAACCCCTGGGCAGCCTAACCAGAGGCACAGCACAGACGTGGAGGACAACGTGTACTTGGTTGTGAAGAAGCAGGCAAGTCACCAAGAGATCAGGGCAGTATCAAGTCTGGTCTTTTATACGAATATTCATGCGATTGAGGTGAAGCATCAGCTATTCACTAACTAATGTTACAGATTACGATGAACAACTAATTTCCCCCTGTTCCTATTTATAATCCCTGCTGCTGATTTTCTTCTCCTTTTCCCGCTTTCTGCCCAAGGGAATTCCACTGCCCTGGGATGGCTGAGATTTTTTAGTTCGGCAGCAAGTGGGGTACCTAACAGGTACCTTGGACCCCCGTAACTCCCGTCCCGAAGTCTGGTCCCGTCCCCTTCCACCTAAAACTTGACCCTTCCCTTCCCCGACTTACCACCTCAACCACAGGTTGCCAACTCAGGGCCACTTCCCTCGGCTGCGTCGCTTTTGGTCTCTCGATATTGCTCTGCTCATCTGCTCGTCTCATTGCTTCAAACTAACTCCTATACCTCTCGTCTTTCGTCCCCTCGACTTCACCGAATCCCTCCTTCGACCTGACGGGGCTGGGCTGAGCTCAGCAGAAACGCGAGCGCGATGAATGCAATTCAGCAAAAGTGTCGGCCGAAACACCAGGTCCTCGTCCTAAAATGCTATCCGCGGACTACGAAAGGCGCTGTAGATGTGAAGCCGAATAGCAGCGAGCTTAGCTACCTTCTCTACTATGCTACGAGTCGTCGCTCCAAGATCCAGAAGATTGGCGCTTTTTTGGAGAAGAAGACAGCTAGCGACGTCTGGCGTCTACGTATTGGGTACGTCGCATATCATTGACTTTCAAAACGTCCATGTGTCAGATCCGCCCTCTTCGAGGCTCCTCCCGCAATGCGATCTTGCGTTTGGGGGACTTGTCATGATCAGTTGGAATCCATGATTGCTAATGTGACCCTTGGCAGGAATGTTCAAGTCACCCTACAAATTCTGTCAGCCTTGATGGAAAAGCTTCACAAGGACTCGGTCCTGATTGCTCCATTCGTACTCAAAATCCTCGACACCGTCCTCCGCTCTGACGATATCACCATGATCGAGTCCTCCCTTCCCACATTTGCGGCCTTTTGCGATTATCATGACGCCGCGTTCCTCATGGCTGATCAGGCTTACCTCCGACAATACGAGGAAATTGTTCGATTGTACGTTCAACTTGCTTCGACAAAGCCTGCGCCGGGCAAGGAATCTCTCACCACCCCAGTTAAAGTTCGATGGAGGAATGCGGGCCTTGAAGCTATTCGTAGCATCTCTACGGCGGACGCACTATCTTCCATAACGGGCAGTCAAATGGATGTCATCATGCCTCGCATTCTCGAGAACTTGTGGTCCGAGACCCCCGATTTCCTCGAAACTCTACACCAACGGCTCGAAACGGAGGAAAAGGTCGACACCGAAAAGCAGCTTCGACGGAGAACTAGTATCGCGACAGTTGGGACTGACGGAGCAAACGACCCGAATCCTGTTGCTCTCTCCGGAACTGCCGGTGATGTCGATAAGCTTGCAGAAGAAGAGGTTGGCGTATTGGCCCTCCAATGTTTGAAGAGCATCTTTATCGTCCCTACCCGTTCTCAGATCCACGGCGCAACCGTCTCTCTCCTCGGATTTATTCAAGAAAAGGTTACACAAGGCAACGCTGTGGTGGAACTCCATGATGACCGAGAACGAGACAGCGGTTGGGCTATCAGTATATATGGCATTATCTCGCGCTGGGCTCCCGTGCAAGACAGATACACAATTCTTGTTGCCGCTCTCGAAACCCTACTACGGATTCCCGTGCAGGACTCTACACTGGACGAACAACTCGCATTGGTAACAATCATGAGCTCCCTCCTACGGTCCGACGTCAACCTCATTGGATTGAGTATGATGGATGTTCTCCTTGGTCTGATCAAGCAGATGAGGAAGCTTTTTAGGATGCGAACACCGACCAGCCAGAGCGATGATGGCAACGCCGCTGCCGCGGAGTCTGAATCAGTCGTGCGCCAGAAGACTAAGCATCTTGTGGGCAGACTTGAACTGTGCATTGGCGACCTGGCTACCCACGTTTACTACGCAGATCAGATCTCAGATATGATTTCCGCTATTATCTTACGTCTCAAACCGTCTCGATCTGCTAGTGTCAACTCTTCCCCTGGAGGCGAAAAGAACGGAAACAATGAAGCTGGACCGGGCGCCTCCACCATCGAGTTGAGCGACAGCCAGCAGCTTGACCATTATTTCTCCCTCAACACGGGCAGAGCATCTGGCCTCCGAGCTATCAAGGAGATTCTCCTGGTTGCAAACCCTCAGAAGAAGCTCACCGGCAACATGGGGTTGTCCCGCAACCCTGTGCCAATTTATGTTTGGGAGGGAACTCACTGGCTTCTGCGCGATCCAGATGGTCACGTTCGTAAGGCATATATGGACGCTCTCATTACGTGGCTTGACCGAGAAACTTCGTTCGCGAATGAGATCGCTGTCGAGGAAAAGCTCCCTCGTTCCCGCTCGTCTCTCAAGATCAACAAGGAGACCCGTAGAGCCGTTTCAAACGCCTCCCATCGAGAGCGAGGATCCAAGCCACGACACTCGCAATTTCTGGCGTTGCTACATCTGGTCATCTACGATAATGCCCTCCAGTACGTCGAGTACGAGAATGATCTTGTCATGCTCCATATCCTTCTTACAAGATTGGTCCTACAGCTGGGCGTTAATGCCGCCCGATATGGCCTACCAATGATTTACCGACTACAAGAGGATATCCAAGAGATCGACACGCCTCTGTACAAGGTCCGGACTGCGGCCCTCTGTCATGGATACTTTTGGGCACTCACTGAGAAGTTCGACTTCAAGGACTCTGACATTGGTATAGCGATTGAGCAAGAGGTGGCGCGCCGTAGAAGAAAGGGTTTCTGGGTACAAGGCATTACCATGCCACCCCCAGAAGTTGATACGGTTGGCCTTCCAGGTGAGGCGCGCCCACAGCCAGATTGGGACTCTGCTTCGCTCGAAAGAGAAGAACTGCTTCCGTTCGACGACAGAGAGGCGCTCGTAGAGTACATTGTGTCGCACTACCACGACAGCCTTCAAGCACCTCCTGGCAGCCCGGGTCCTTCCCCAGGCAGGGTTCTTTCAGGGCCGATCCTTGGTTCAACTCTGACTGGGCAGGATCAGCCCGATTCGGAACTGCCAGCTGTATTCCGCGAGCAGATGCTGGCAGACTGGACCAGAGATGCTGCGGGCGCCATGCTTGCCGCTGCTGGAAAGTCGGAATCTTTGACAGGATCCAAGACAGAAACCTCGGGCACACACCGAGGCCACCTCACGGTGAAGACGAACGGAAACGGATTCGCTAATGGGAATGGACCGACATCACCTTATGGAAGCCAGTATAATCTAATGAGACCTCACTCGTCGCATGGCCATCGCGAGAAGGATCGCGAAGGAACAATTCCCAAGCACCGTAAGAGCAGCTTACGGAGTGCTGTCTCCCCCGCCCATTCAACAGGCAACCGAGGTACCGTTGCGTCGGTGGATCAGCTGAAGCTCGTGCTATCAGGCAACCCTCCGCCTAAAACAGCCATCATCGGGGACGATGACAGCGGAGACAGCATGGTTAGCTACGATTACAGTCCTTCAGAGATGAGCTTTAACCCTGCTACGCAGAATGACCAGCCAAGTAGCCCAACAAGCACCAAGCGTCCTGGCACGGCTTCCAAGCGAGGACCTCTGAGCGCTCATCCTCCTCTTGGAGGGGCGCCAGATTTACATGACGATAACGACCAGGAGGACGAGGCAGTTCCTCCTGTGCCACCGCTGCCAGACGTAAACTTGCTCGGGGGAAAGAGGAGTCCCATCCAGTCGATTGAGACGTCGTTCCAGGATAAATCGGCACGGCGCAGTCTGACCAGCCGAGGAGGGGATGGGACTCGGCCTAAGTCGGTACGATCACAGAACACGAAGACCATGGATCTGCAGGATCTCCTCCGAGGAATTGATAGTCGGCCGAGCGAGGGAAGTTTGGGTAATGTGACAAAACCTCCATACTAGGGTATATGGATATAATAGGAGTTATGGAGTGAAGGAAGGGAGGGTAATAGCGACGGTTGATTTGATTTGTAGAATAGCGATATTGGTGTAATTTGTAACAGCTCTGAGCAAAAATGAAAAATAGTATTGTCATCGCATTGTTGGTCTTGATAGTTGCTACCATGGATTGAACCATTCGGATTGATCAACAGTTTATGAGACTAATCCTGGTGATGAGGGTGATCCTGGTGATCCTGGTGGTCCTAGCATGGAGGAATTTGCTTGATGGAGATTTTGCAAGGGTCGAGCCGGTTTCAGATCGGCAACTAAAGGTACTAGTTTACGGTGCCTCTTCTGAGGTTAGAGGCCTCGTAAACAATGATGCTATATTCGTATGCTGAAGCCATCCAGACCGAAGCTTGTCAGATCTCTGGTGGCCGCGAACGAGGCCTGGGTTTCGCAGAGGAGATGGCTTTTTATTCCATGATGAGATTTCTTTCGAGCCAACCCTTTACAGTCGATCATCTCTTATCTTTTCTCTCCAAGATATCACGTCCTCACATCCCCTGTCATGGGCTTGGCGCCATGGGGGCAGTGCAGGACACCATTAATTCGTCTTATTTCCCATAGAGTGGTCCCCAAAGTTAAGGAACAGGAAAGTCCCCCGCGATTGAAGGGCTCTTGGGAGACTCCTCTCTCGTCCGTACCAATCCTTGTTATAGCTCCCGTGCCCGTGAGAAGGGGGCAGTGCTTCTTATCTTACCGTCTTCCCTTTCTCTCACTCTTTCTCACGCCATTTTTAACTCAATCTCACTATTGTTTATTTTCTGTTGTGCTCATTCCGTTCCTTCTAATATTCTGTGTCACGGTTCATTTACCGGTAGCAAACAGCAAATATCGCGCTCGTATCTCGGCAGACGTCGCTAACAGCAAAGCGAGAGTGGTCTGTTTATCCAATATCCTCAACTTTCAATGCGTTTTACCGAAAAACAAGGAAAATAGAGGATACTTATTCGGCGTGTCGATTTCTGAAACGGAGCATCGGGGTCGAAACAGGGCAAATTTACACGAAACGAACACTTGGGCAGGATATTATGGATGCGCGACACGCTTGACAGACTTGTTTTTTTCGCGACGACAAACGAAAAGAGTTCATCTGTGAAGTTGGATGAGGTGTTGGTGAAACGTTGGCGGATCTGAAGGAGCTCGTTGTTGGTTTGTGCGACCGCGACATTTATTCGGCATTACGATATCATTTTCAACCTCACCTCAAGTCACCTCATCACATCACATCTCACAAAATCATAATCAAACTCAACCATGGACGCTCCAAACCCTCGACATGGAAGTCATCCATCGGACTCGATCCCGGACGCCGCATATCCCAACGACTCTCCTTATCGACCCGGCGATAACTCACCACAAACCATGGCTACTCCCGGCGCATCGCCATCCTCACCATCACCACAGTCTTACTCAACACCACCACCAACACACTTCGGCGCCAGTATCCCCGCATACTCCAGTCCAACGCCATCGCCATGGTCCCCCGCTATACCCTCAAGTCCGCCACCTCCATACGATCCGTCCCGTCCGCCAGCGATATACTCTCCACTCGCACCACCATCGCCAATCTCCCCACCTCCGCCTCAGTATCCGCCTTCAACGCCTTGGCCATACCCGCAAGGCAGCAGTTCTGGCTCTAGTCTGAACGCACCGTACAAGATGGGACCTGTGGCTACGGCGAGAGCACGACGGAGGAGAAAACTGCAGATCCTCGCTTTGGCGCTTTGTGCGGTGATGATCTTCTTCGTTGCGTTGATCATGGGGATTCTGATGGGTGTTGTGAAGGTGCAGTGGAAGAACAATGACGATGATTAGGCTCGATTAGCTGGGTATGCACCTGTCACTCACAGTTTACTTACTTTTCTTTTGTTAATATTTATTTACGGGATATTCGGGCTGTGGATGCAGCAATGGCATGGCGTTGGGCATGGGTCTTTTCTTGATAAGAGGATTTATCTGGAAGTGAAGCGATTACCACACAAAATACAAATGGGCTCGTTTTCATCAGATCTGGGTTTTCATTGACGCGTGATGTGATGTCTTGTTCATCATGCGTTCACCTAGTTACACATTGAGTGGAAACCATCTTCCGTACAGCACATCAGCAAGTAAAGGAAAACCATCATCTCCTTGTAGAAGGCGTTCTCAAGCCACGCTTTGAGAATTCAATCCATACCCATCTACAAGCCTTTTAGGTCTCTCTTAGGCGGTTACACTATGTGTGAAGACTAAGGAGTATAAGTTGGTGTTCAAAAGTGAGGAAGACAACCTAGCTACCCTGTATGGCACAGACTTCGAGCATAGCACATGAGTTTTGGTCTATATCAGGACGAGGCCAAGTCTTCTGAGACAGTATGAATCACAGACACATTCTAAGCCTCCTTCCATTGTCTACTACTGCATAGCATTCGCTAAGGGACGTTACAGAGGCGTCAACTTTTAGCCTTCCATCGTTAGCACCAAGAAAGAATGCCCAGGCTCCAGGCCTCACACCCACCCAATTGCACATTCCTGGGGGAAATGACCCAGCCAAGAGCATTGTGGCGAGCTGATAGACGAGATGAATCAATAAAATTACATCAGGATGAGTCCAGATAGCCTTTTGCGGCGTTTGGTCGATTACTGATGTTGGCACATGATGAGTGTTGGTGAGCCATCTACTGGCTGGGAATTATTCCGCCGCCAGAAGCGGGAGTGGGAACGGGAGCCAGATCCAAGATTACAACGGGGGAAGAGGGAAAATGACCCGATTTGAGCAAAACTTTAAATGATCGGCGATTATAGATTACCCCGGCTATGGCCTCTTGTTGGCTGTTCAGTTTTAATTGACTTTGCCTTTGTCACTGGATCAGGCTCAGCCTTAACAAGCCCACCGTTGGATCCGGACTAGATCTTGATAGAAGGGCACGGGAGAGGGTTACAATTCTGGTCGAGCGCCAGAAAAGTCTATCATCCCGCCCTCTACCGCGGTGTTGGGTTCAGTTGGCCGACGTACGTCCTAGATCCAGACCTGACAACTCCTTGAACACGGCAAACGCGTATCCTCCGTTAGGCGAAGTTGAAGTTGTCTCTTTTCGCTTCAACTCATGAGCGTATGCAAATGGAGACAAGAAGAGGAGCAAACAATGCATCGCATAGGAATGAGACATCAGTTTCATCTAAACCTTTCTTTTCTCATACATACACCGAGTCCTAGAGGATCTCACCCTGCGCTGCGCCATGAACTGATATTTGACGTGTCGTTGCGTAAAAGCTAAACAGGGCTGAAAAGGTCCCAGAGTGGCTTGTTTGTAACGTCACTCGATTCGATCCTAGATCCGCAGGGCCTAGATGGGGCTGTTTGATACCACTTACAGCCCCTATCGATGATGGCAATGAATATCCCAAGGGGGAGAGAGGGAACAATGATTCACATCTCAGCCTGATATGTACCTTGTTGAAACATGAGCAAATACGACCATGTCGAGTGACTGTATGCAAAGACACCTTGGACGTTACTATGCAGGCTCAACGTGCAGAACAGCTCATCATGGATGCCGTAGCCGGTGCAGGTACAGAGCGTTTCTTTCAAGGATGTTCCCGGCTCGACTACCGATCTACTCCGTAATCTTGGGTATGGATGCCTCAGATCTGTTTATGTGAATCTGACCGTGCATCCGGGCATCGACACAGATGCAAGTGGTGAAGAGTTTTCACATCAACACAAGGGCAGGAAAAAGCATCCCGGCGAGGATGCATACACCAGTGGAGCAAAAGGACAGGTACCGTTAATAGTAATTGTTGACTCATTAACTTTTATTTTTACGCCTTCGAATAGGCTATCCCTTTGTTCCGACCCAGGCCTGGACTCGGGAATCACTTTGTACTTTTGTGATCTGTAGGATGATCTGGAATGATGTGCATGTAGGGGAGGACGAGGCGACACACTCGTAAATGCACTCTTTACTGCCGTGACGTGGTGGAGATGTAATGGTGGATAAGTTACAAGATACTTGCAGTGCAGAGGACGGAGGATCAAACCCAGATATACTCGTGAGTGTGGCCATTCATGTTGATCGACTTCACCTACTAAAGCAAACTAAAATAATGCTTCCATGACGTCGGGTCCAAGTGTGCTGAAAATGGCAGGATCAGTGCATATGGAGACAGACGGCATGGAAATGGCAGTGGGAATAGAGAGTTGTTCCGCGCAAGGCACGTGGCAGTACTGACAGCGGCCTGCAGCCTGCCAAGCAGTCAGGCCTCAGCCTAAATTTAGCGGCTGGTCGACTTGAATTTACCCCGAACACTCAGTAAGACAATGTGCCCACTTGTATCATCATCATCTGCATCCTGCATTGCAGCTCGTCGCACGCAAATCATGATTTGCATCGCCCAGAACCACTTCTGATGGTGACATCAGTGCGTGCCATCTCCCAATCCTCTTCCTGGTCCCGGCAGTCAATAAGGTAAGCCAAGCCAAGCCACCCCAGGCAAGGATCACACTCAACACCGGGCCCAGCAGCCAGCCTCTCCCGTTGGCACTAGCTCACAGCAATTAGCGAATCCTCACTCGAGAAGACACTGACGTTGGTGATGTGGCTTTGTCCCGTATCTCAACTTCAGTATCTCCAGACTGGATCACTTTCTCAAGCGGCCGCTCGTCAATTCAACTCTTGGTCGATCCCGGTTCCAAGGTTCACTCGGTTGTTAGAAGCGGGTATTTTGCATAGCGCGTTGCCAATGACCCTTCAGCCTCCCCTCCCGCGGCGAAACATGCTGCTCCCCCGTCCCCTGTGGCCGAGGCCTAAGACGTCTCCGATCCACGCCCCAAGCTGTCTGCTGTCATCCTCCCAAGGACCCACCTCAACTCCGCCGCAGCTGCAATCCAAGGCTGCCGACCGCCCAAATCGTCCGCCATGTCGTCTTCCGCTACCTTTAGCCCTCCGCTAGCTCCAACTGTAGGGGACCAATGGACGACCATCTTTAACCACGGCATTGGGAGCCCTCCCGAGCTACTGGAGTCAAGCTTGAGAAAAAGATACCGAGGGAAACCAAAAATAAATCTGGCCTCATCACAACTGGGGTTGGTGGCATCTTCGTCCAAGGTGTTCCGCTTGAGCTCTCGGTCTCTTCTCTCCTCACTCCTGTGTCGTGCACCCTCAGTCTGTAATGTAAGAGATGTTGATGTCGTCGCTGCACTGACATCAACGCAGTTAATCATTGGATCCGAGACATTCAGGAACGTTGCGAAACTGGTACAGCAAGTGGACCACTAAACGATACCCTTGCACCAACATTAACCGGGACCTGACGCTCCATCCGCGTGTCCCCTACCCCTTCTATCCGTAGCCCATCAATGGCAGTTGAGCACTGCCTGGTTCAAGCTCAACTCGGGTTATTTGGCTATTGACCTTGAACAATGCAGTGTTTCCAGGGACCAGGAGGCTTTGCGAAAGTCGCCTGGAATCAGCTAACTCACTCATGAGCCAACCATATTCTCTATCCGGCTCTCTCAAACAAGCCCCTCCATACCGGACCCCAGCTAGAGATCCTCAACTCGGCTTGTGTTGGCCGAATCTTTTCGTTCTATTCTTCTCATGCCCGTGTTCCTGATTGCCATCGATTGACAGCTGCCAACCCTGGAAGATAACTGGCTGCCGAGAGTCACTCTGGTAATGATCTTGCGGCGCTGAATTGCCCCGGGGTTTTCGCCTCATGCCCCATATCGTACTCAGTCTATCTGAATTTCGCCAGTTGTCTCGTGGTTCTCATTTTGTCCAGTCGCTTTCATATATCTTGTTGCCCTTCACAAGCTTATCCCTGTACCCGGCTGCCACAGTCTGCCGATGATACATTGCTCCATCAACCTTCTTTTTCACTGACTCCCTATTACTACTTTACTCTGACCCTCATTGATGGATCAGGCCCCTCCACCTTGACATCTTTCTTATAAAGACCCCTGGCCAAGTTTTGCTTTTGACTTTCCCCCTCCAAATTCTCATTGTTATTACGGATGCCTGTTCCTACGCTCTCTTTTCTCATTTTGCAGGTCTTAGCCACGTTCCCTCCCTGTTATCCTCGAGTTATAAGTTGCCTCGTTGGCGCCCTGTCTTGATTGCGACTGTCGAGAAGCTGCCATCTAAACTGGTCTATCAGACAGCGGCGGGTATAATACATCTCTTAACCCCCGACATACAAACACGCAGACAAACACATACACAGCAACAATCCTCCTTACATCACTCTCATTGCCGCCATCATCACCGTCATTCTCGAATTAGGTGCTACGTACCTCTGGACCACCCAGTCATATTAGATTCGTCCCAAGCTCTAGTCCAGCCGAGTCCAGCCCGATCCAGCCTGGTCCCGGGCCTTGAAGATCTTGCTTTCGGTTCAAGCCAGTTCTAGAACGCCAAAACTTGACAACCATCACATTTAAGCACTATCCTCTTTTTTAGCATTCGAATTCTTGGGGCGGTGCTTGGCCTTAATTCAGCCAGAAACAAAATCACCGTCTTTCCCCGGCCATTCTCATCTCCCTTGCACTCTGAGAATCTAAGTACCAACCCAAGCCCGAAAAAAGAGGCGCCGTTCATCTTGCATACGTACCCTTCCCTTCGTCTTCAGTGGCCGCCCTCCGCTTCCCCAAGGAAAAATCTCGAGCTAGCCGCCACGGGCGCTTCCCAGACTCCCGGTCCTGGGACCAAACGAGGAAACTCAATTTCAGGCATCACAAATCCTGGACATTTTTATTTGGTTCTAGTGTCATCCATCTGGCTGGCTCTATCTCCCCTCTTGGTCTCATTTATTCCCTCCTCCCCAAGCTCGTTTTCACACCATTCTTTTTGAGCTTGACTCAACATCTCGGTTCTGCCCGTGTCGTGTCTTCTCCCGGCGTGCGCGTGCTGGTTTCTTTCAACGTCGCAACATACGATTGGGTGCTCAGCTATCAAACCTCAAGGCTGTGAGGCTCCAGAAACATACATAACCGCAACCGGCCACGATCAGTCTCGCCTTTTTTTTTTTTTGTGTCCCATTCCTCACCAACAGTTCCCCGATCTATCTGTACCTGTTTGTCGCCAATTTGTCGACTCTCAGACTTATTAGTGTCTGTTTTTTTTTTTCTTCTTCTTTCTCCGTCGCTCGGACTGTGCATTGAAGACGTTCAGTTTCACTATTATCATCAGCAACCCCAATCCTTCTTATCGCTTGATTGATATACAGTTTTTGAGGGGCATACATTGCTTGTCACTCGCCTTGCTTAGGCATACGCTCGCTCATCACGAAATCCTCTGGTTTTATTTTTATCACCATCATGCCACGACATTATCACTACCAACCCAGGTTTGGCTCATTCACCCCTGACGCTCCGTTGTACTTGATGCTAATTCACTACTCAGTCGCGAACTCCATGTGGTAGTCCTGGGAGCAGGTTCGTCCATACCCAATACCGCACCACGCCACCCTTTCGCTTTGACTCTCCCTTTCTTACGTGTGCGCTTGTCTGACTCGTTTATCATTTGGCAGGCGGCGTGGGCAAAAGTTGTTTAACTGGTGAGTTGTCATTCTCCCTTGGCCTTCGCCTTCGCCTTCCCCTCGTCCCATGTTCTTCATGTTGCTGCGCCTGCGTCCCACCGTTGCATCCGCAATCCTACTACGCTTCCCTGTCTTCCCCTTTGCAGCACAAGGCTCATGCGAGAACAGCCCAGTTCGTCCACAATGAGTGGATCGAGAGCTATGATCCCACCATAGAAGATTCTTATCGCACGCAGCTTCAGGTTGATGTGAGTATTGCGCATGGCAACAATGCCACTACTTGACCCCTTCTGACTGACTCGCTCGTCTCAGGGACGTCAAGTTATTCTCGAAATGTGAGTTTTTACACCTTGATTGTCTCACCACTCAATCCGTGTTTGGAGAAGAGCTGTCACTGACTCGGCCTCTAGCCTCGATACTGCGGGGACCGAGCAATTCGGTAGGTCCTCCTCTATGTCTCAACAACTTTCGCACGACCCTCGTACTGATGTTGGTACAGTCGCCATGAGGGATCTGTACATGAAAACCGGCCAAGGTTTTCTTCTTGTATTCAGTATCACATCGTCTTCCTCCCTAAGCGAACTAGCAGGTTTGCGCGAAGAAATTATCCGGATAAAAGACGATGAAAATGTACCTCTTGTTATTGTCGGTAACAAAGCCGATTTGGAGGAGAATCGCGCTGTGCCCCGAGCCAAGGGCTTCTCCATCTCACAACGATGGGGCGCACCCTACTATGAGGCTAGCGCGAGGACAAGGAGTAAGTTTGCCCGACCACTCATGGCTTCTTTCGCCGCATTCGGACTAACAATATGCAGCCAACGTTGATGAGGTCTTTATCGATCTCTGCAGGCAAATGTTGCGTAAAGAGGACGAACAACACGCGAATGACGGACCCAATGACGACTACAAGTATGATCACGGCCGAAGTTCTCATAGACGTCAACGACGTCGCCGAAAGAAGGATTCACCGCGATGTGTGATCCTGTGAACTCAATGAACCGCTTTCAGAACATTGGCCACTGGATGGCATCTAAACACTGGAACACTTTCACTTCTCTCAATTTTCTAGGCCTCGGCATTTTCCCCTCAATTCTCTTACATTTTACAGCACGTTTTACGCGGATCACGGCCATTTAAAATAAATCTATCAATGATATCTGGTGTTTTCCGAAGGACCACATGGACGACCTCGCGGTCTCATGAGGCGAAACGAGACCGACGCGTATAGACGACATAACGCATCACACCGAATCGAATAGAATCGAATCGCATCGCATGGCATCGCATGCTTGAGCTAAGCGACTGGTGTTTTGGGATCGACAACTTCCCACATTGTATTCCACATTACGGCGTTGGTGGCGTTGGATATCGGACCTGGGATATAGGTTCTACACATGTTTATTGCTTTCAGGGTTTTATACGGGTATTTTGTTCTACTTCTTGAACTACGGTGAGATGGATAAGAAACTGTTGTGGTATGATCAAGTAGGACAACCTTTGCATTGATACGAAATGCTCCAAGCGACGAGAATGAAGCAACATAGGCTATGCAAATGCAGGCATTTACCAGCTTCTATTCCGATATGACAAGGGTGACTTTTAGTTTCTGCCCAAAATATTACACTCCCTGGGGCTCACTCGCATCTCGGAACTTCTCTTGAATCTGTGTGGCAACACCACGTGAACTATCCTCCAAGTCTTCGAGTATCGCTGACCAAGCTTGACTTTACATTGCAGCCGCCGTGAAGTCTGGCCACGAATTTATCGTGAAATGTCACACGGCATTCATCCGTCATCCCATGTGTCACCATCCTCTAAAAATCACTGCATGAAGCTGCGACAAGCCGCGTGTTCAGATCACCCCAACTTATCCAACAACCATTTGTGCATTGATGCCACAACTCATCACATATACGAGATCTTATCTTATAGTCACAATGAGTCATTCAATTCTTTATTTGTGTACATGCCTATGGTCCTGTTATCCATTACGATACGTCTCATGCTATCCTCATGACTTGGTAATAGTCTGCATACATGATCTCGTGCGTAACCAACCCTTGGCTATGACGTGTCTCCAAAGACCGATCACAATCCAACTGCTCAAATATCCATGAAACCGACACCGAAAGCGACCGCACTGGGTCCTTGACGATCCTCGGCTGCCGCTCACTTGCGTCGCAGCATGCCCCAAATGTCAGTGAAGATACCAAACCACCCCTTGACTCTTTCAGCGGCGTTCAGAAGCAAGATGAAGCGTTTCACAAACGCATCAACGTTGTCATAGTCATCAGCGTAGCACTCCCATACAGCACGCCCTTGACCGTTGTTCTCAGAGTCCTGGACGGCCATGAGAGCATCCACATCCTCCACACCCTCCACACCAGCGGACTTGAGCTTGGGACCGACACAGAGTGCACGGCCCGCAATCTCTTCATCAGAAATGAGGCGAGTGGCAGCATCAATGACATCCTCGATCATTGCCCCGCCTGCTGTGCCTGAGAGGAAGGCTGCTTCGATGGGGAGCTTGAGCATGTTGGACTTGGAGACATAGTAGGGAGTGATCATGTTGACACGAACGCCACTCCGGAAAGACGTAGCACGAAGAGTGCGGAAGAGACCAAGAATAGCATGCTTGCTCATCGTGTACATGGTTTGAGTTGGGAAAGGGCACAGAGACGCAAGCGAACCGACAAGAAGCAGGCAACGATCTCGCGGGGAAGATCCATTCTGTGGGAGCCAGTACAGGGCAAGGTGAGTGGTATAGGCAGCACCAGTGATGTTGACATCAAACTGAGCCGTGTTGGGCTTTGGAAGACGTCCATTCTTGAGAACAGGCTCTTCAAACTGAATGGAGACGTCGGGAAGGATGATGCCGGCGTTGGGGACGACAATATCGATGCCTCCATGAGGGCTGACGTGAACAGCCGTCTCAAAGAGACTGACCTGTGATTCCCAGTCGGTGACGTCGCAATGCTGAAAAGCAAAAGCTGAGTCCGGATACTGAGTAGTAAGTTCAGCTACGAGCTCTTCGCCCGCTGCGTCAGCGACATCGCCGATGATGATATTTGCCCCATGCGATGCCCATTCGCGAACCATGTGAGAGCCAAGACCGTTAGCACCGCCGGTGATGACAATAGTCTTGCCCTTCAAAGTTGTGGCATCGTAGGGCTTGGACACATCGACGGGCGGTGACTGGCGGATGAGGCCCTTGATATTGTTGGTGGGCTCCATAGCTGACTGTTGTATGTACTAGGACAGGTGAGATCTTTGGTATGAAAAGAGTAGAAATGATCTCGGCAAATGGGGTAGTGTATTGACTCTCCAAGAACAGAGTGATGGACGAAACGAACACGGTATGATAGTGATTGCGATTGTTGGAAAATGATTTACTGACCTGTTAACCCAAACAAATTAGCCCCAGCTTCAGCTTCAGCTTCAACGAACCTAGTCAGCTATCAAGCCAAAAGCCGTTGGACCAAAAATATCCCCCGTGTGGAGTCTGAGCCCTTTTTTGCAGGGTCCAGCCCAATCTCACCTTTTTGATCTGCCTATCGTATCGTGTTGTTTCCTTGGAGGCCCGATGAATTAGCTTTAGCGGGTCGTCTCGAGCTTGGTAGGTATTGGATATCCACTCCAGAAGTTGTTGATGATGCCAACGCTTTGGGATCCGAAGACCAAGATGAAGATGAAGAGGAGAAGATGAAGAGGGGAGAAGAATGCGGCACATGAGTTTCCAGTTGCTTGGTATAAATAAGGCCCCCATTTACAATGAATCCTTGCTTCTTGCATTCACTGTTAAAATGTAACGCAGTTCTACTGACGAGTCCAGTGACAGTGATGGGAACATCAATGCCCAAACAATTCTGGGCTCGTAGAACATAAATCCGATGAGCCTCTCCAACACTCACCGATGAAGTGATAAAGGGTTCTGATGCACATCGCCATGTTCCCTTTCACCTCTTGTATGCCCATGGCTGTTCGAAGCTTAGCAGTCTCAGCCAGGCTCATGTCTATTTTCGGACACCACAGCAGACAAGAGTTTCCACACCCATATCTCAACAGAGGCTACATTGCGGGGAGCCACGACCGAAGATTGACATTCACTAGAGCCCAGTAGCCTTGGTATGCGAAGCGTTGTGGTATAGACAAGATTTCGCTATGGACTTTTCCCCTGTGATTCGGAGGCCCAGCACAATGAAGTGCTGTGCTGGGCCTCTGGTGCCGAACTGCGCTGTTTGAGAAAGACTCGCTGAACAATCTGTTTTCGAGACAGCTGCAAGCCCCGAGATGGCAACGGTATATCCATGTTGAGGCTGTGTAGTTCGGAATTTGGTGAAAGGTTTTGTGAACTTTGACGTGCTGATTGTCAATTGCCCTTTCTCAGGCCATTTATCCATTGAAACACCCGGCATGAATGCCAAGTCAGCAAATAGGCAAATTATTGCTGGTCAGGCGACCGTTGATCTTATAAAAGAGATTTGGCAGTCATCTTCGTCATCACATATGATCGTGCGGATGATAAACTTGATCACCCTCATCATTGCTCAATGTAGGTGGTTGATCTAGGAGGGTGTGGTTGTCATCGTCTAGCCCAGGAACCTTGAGCTGCACGTCTGCAAAATAGCTGCTAGTCAGTCTACCGTATGCTGAGGTAGATTCATCTGGTGTAAGCTTTCAGCCCCTTGTTCTAAGCATCACTTCCGCCAACTTGGATGTTCTGATTCATCTGACTTCAACGCCGTGGTACAAACAGCCCGATGCTGAAGCAACGACGTTTGCTGACCAAAATCATGTCAGCAAGGCAAATGAGCACATCAGAAAAGCCGAACAGGAAATGCAAGAGGGGAAAAAAGGTTTTGCGTTGAACCAAAAGCTATCCCTTGCTTTCGGAGTATTTCACACAGTCGCGCAGGGGATCGTCTTCCCTCGTCATTAGTGACTCTGTAGTTATCTCCTTGTCTCAAGGCAAGGGTTCAATGTTAGTGTGAATAAGCATATCCACCCAACGGCTTAGACAGTGGCTGTCTAGGACTTTAGTCTGTCTTGAGAAGGGAGAGAAGATTTGAATGTGTCACATGAGTATCGACGGTTACCGGACACCGTCGATCATTTCGTCTAGAATTTGATGGATCCCAAAGTCAACACCAGGGCACGTCACTCATCAGCACGCATTGTATAACTTGATTGCATTGTGGTCCCATCCGATGTGAAGCCAGACCCGAGATCAACCGCCCTTGGTCGGTTGAACCAAGTTTTTTAGACTGAATATGTTTTCTCAAAATGGTAGTCGTAAGTTTGCCCAAGGAGTCATTACACCAGGCATCCAGCCTGGGGATCCAGTGATACCACCGGGATGTGACGGGCTTTAGACGCACCAGCTCCGACCAACGGGCCTGGCACGCTTATGCCTCGGTGACCTCACTCATGGACTAGGGCGCAGGCCTGTGAATTGGGCTGGACTGTTGGCGTTAAATGCCACGCCAGGGGATCCCTGTCGTATCGAATATGGTAGGGTGGTTTCCTCCACACAATGGTCAGAATCAATGACCTGGAAGTAGCAGCCCCATGAGAAGCAATCTAGGCTTTCCTTTCTGTGCTGCAATAAACACGCGTTGTGAGACGTTGCTAGCACCATCTTCAACTTCAGATCAATGGCTGGGTTCTGTAGAATGGTCAACTCGTTTAACGTATGTGTTTGGCAATTTCTTTACCAAGACCCTGAATTTGTGCCTGAGAATGTTGCGCTCAGCCGCAATCCGTCATTCACGTGGTACCGTTAGACCACATGTTGGTTCCCTGCGTGGGTAGCAAGGGACAAATCGTTTAATGGGTATCACCCCATTGCGCACGATTGTACCTACTGTATCTGAGATGTGACGGCGCTCCCAACAAGCGAAATCGGTAAGAGATCCGCGTATGTACGGCTGGATGGTTGGCGCCATATGCCTGAAGGAATTTGTGGACAACATTATACTTACGACGCAGCAAGCCCGTCTTTGCAAATTTGAGACTCGTAAATGAGCTACTGAAAGTTCACATTGAAATTTCCCACAAAGCGCTTGTTCAGTCTCCAAGGATTCTCATATCCGTCATCAGTGTAATGACTGGTAAGAAGCTATGCGATATCACCACGAGGTCTGATCACACACACCTCTAGTCAAGCCAATAGGATACCGTGCGTAGGGGTGCAAAACATCCTGTTCCTCAAGCTCTTCTGCAGGCATGGGCTGGCAAAGCCCAATCGGGATCGAGTAATGACGACCTAATTGGGCTGGCGGACGATGCGACCCAGGGTCGTTATCCGGGAACGTCAAACTTCAAATTTCAAGCTGCATCCTCGCGCGCCAGGCAATAGATCTGCGACAACACCATAACCTTCGATAAGGCTATGACTCAGTCTCAGCAACGGAGAAAGTGATGGTTACCTTTGTTGTGTCTTCCTATTTATTCGCGAAAAAAAGAAGCTCTGGTAACAAAGGTATTTGAGGTTTGACACACCATCCCTTCTTGCGAAAATAATTATCATCCAATGAGCTGAGATTTGTAGTAAGTGCCAGTACACTGGATCATTGATATTTAGAATCTTGAAGTGAGTATGTTAGTATGGAGGTTTATACCAAAAGTCTTTGCCGGCGCTAAAATCATGCTAAGTAGGGTAAAAGAGCTAATACCTAAAAATATTAATTTTTATGCCTATTTATCCTTGCCTTCTTTATACTTATTTCTACCTTCTAAAGCTATAATTTTTTAAATATACATAGGAATTCTCTCTATCTATACCTAGATCTACTTCTGCAGAAGGTTATTCTATATAGCCTCCTATTTGCAAATAGCTTTCTTTTTATTCTTTAGGGTGCCTTTTTTTATTATTATCTTCTTTATTTATAGCTAGGTAGGCTTAATAGTATTTAAATCTAGCAAATTTAAATATTAAAGAAGTCTTTAAACTTCCTTAGTATTATATAGAAGCTATTATATATAGTATTTATAACTAGGAGTTTAATTTTCTTATATAAAGGTATTTAGTTTTTCCTTTTTATATTCTTTTATAAAAGGAAGTAATCTAGGAATTAGGATCTTAATATAATATTACTATTAGTTAATATTACCTTTTTTTCCTTTTTTTATTAGCTTACTATTAGCCTTATTCTAAGATTATATAGGCTTTTTACCTAATAGGTTATAAAGCCCTAGCCTTTTTATTTTATTTTTAAGCTTTTATTTCTCTTTTATAATTAGCTTAAGCTTTTTATTTATTACCTATATTACCTTTTTAGCTTTTTTTTTTCTTTTAAGGTCTCTAGAAACTAATAATAACAGAGACCTTTTTTATTATATAAAAAGCAGGCCTAAAATATAAACTTACTAAAGCCTTTCTATCTCTTATAAATATAGCTATAGAGAAATTACTTCTTAGACTATCTCTAAATATAATAGCTACTATAGTAATAAAGAAGCATTATAAAAGTCTTATTTAATTAAATTATAGCTTTTTAATCTTTAAGGGTCTAATCTTTATAAGTAATATATTATTCTAGGCACTCTTTCTTTATTACTATAGTTAATCTAGGCTTCCTTATTAGCTTTATTTTTTTATATTCTACTAATTTAAGGATTCTACTAATAAATATTACTAAGATCTTAATGCCTTAACTACTAAGCTTAGCAGAGATATTAATAAGTATTTTTTCCTTACTGAATTAATTTATATTAACCTTAGTAATAATTAGGCTATAATTTTTATTAGTCTACTTTAAAGGCTGCCCTAATTAAGAACTATCTTTAAGCTAAGTATTAATAAGCTTAAGGGGATATTTATTAGGCTTAAAGCCTCTCTTAATTATATAAGAATATATCTTATTAATTATATATTCAGGGATACTAATAAGAAGGTAGATTTAAGGTATAGTTTTTACTCCTCTATAAGGCGCTTTTAATATTATTATTAAAGCCTAAGTTATAATATCTATTTTTATATATAGTATCTTCTTTATAAGTTAAAGAGGGGAAGAATAATATAAAAATTACTTATAGAAGATAGCTAATAAATTTAGCAGGAATACCCTATTTATTTTTATAAGGGTAGTTGCTAATCCCTGCTTACTGGCAAAGACTTTTGGTATAAACCTCTGTATCCTCGATTGAATATTCTTTGATGCACGCTTCTATCAGCAATAACTCAAGATGACGATTCATTGACGGGGTCATTGCATCCTGCCTGCATTCTCCTTCCAGCCTTTGGGGGATCCGGTTCAAAACCGTAGTGAAGAATGGAGAAATGAGAATGTTTCCAATACAACGGTAAGGTTACGATATATGAAGGACTATGAGGTCATTCAGTAGCTTGAGTCTCAGCCTTCGCATCCTTAAAGTGATTGAGGAAGCCCAGGTGGAGTGGGCTTCAGTTTTGGAACGGGTATCCTGCCGAGGCCGTGCCTTTTTGGTGGCTGAAAAAAACGTGATACGGGTACGAAGAAGGCATGCTAGCGATGAAGGGAGAAGAAGGGATGTCCTTCTTGGAAAGGGCCGCTGCCGTTGGGGGTCTCCGATTCTGCTATTTTGTTATTTCAGAACTCGACTAGAAGCTAAGCTGGGTGTTGATGGATTCGTCTTTGGGAAGTTTCCAAAGGCTGCCGAGATGATTTCTGAACGAATTTAACATCTGTCTCTTGTAGCCCATAGCGTCGTTTTTATCCGTGGCTATGTCTGTACGACCTTGAGAAGGGATGAAACATTGCTGGGACAAGAAGGATATCCAGGCATTGGAACCAAGCGGAGCCATCCCTGATGTGCACTACAGAGTTCAAGCCATGACTCCACTCGCAGGATGCCTGGTTTCCGTTGACAGGCCCCCTGGCCTTGAGCTCCCAAGTATGTTTCCGTGAAGCTTGAAACTGTGCAGCTGTTGTAGTTTCACTTAATCGTCAAACTGGCATTGACTAGCGCATATCTCAGTTCCAATTCCCCATCCTGTATGTCCGTGGTGGGGGCCAATTATTAAGCCTGTGGATGCAAGCGGGCCGTTCGATCGATCCCGGAGCCCAATAATCTGGGAAGTCAGGTTGCTCTCGTGTCTATTCCCAGCCGTTGTATGCAGGCGAGCTGTTCTACCATGTCGCTCAATTTTGAGCTTGATAGCGATATAAGTGGGAACCTAGGCGTTCTACACATTCTGCGGGTGTATCAAAAACGTGGCCATGGTCATCCATGCACCTGCTCAACCATGAACCAGATTGACCGAGCACAACCACATGGACAAAGCTCGAATTCCGGAAGGATAAGACCCCGAGGCCCGCCGTTGCTTTGTCTTCGATATGCCGTTCAGTCTGCGCTGGCGAACGCATTGACTTCTAACGACACCACCAAACTGGAGAGAGATGCATCCCCTTCACCCAGACCGTGCTCTCCAGTGGGCATTGAGATGACAAACACGGCAAGAAGAAAGCTTCCGGCAACAGGGCATTGTATCTTGGTTGATTGACAGGGGAAGAGGTAGGGGAGGGGCCTGTTTACCCCTGTCAACAATCGCTGCATGGCTGGCTCACCGGCTGTGCACCCCTCCCGCCCGCGGCCACAGCCCTGGGTGGTTTAGTTGTAACTGAGTTGGGAGGTTGACAGGACTTATTAGAAGGTCCAATGTTCTCAGCAGGCACCTCGAAAATGGGGGGTAGACGTGGCTCCTGTCGGGACAACACGCCCCAGACCCAGAGGCACTCAGTACAATACGTAGAGGGTGCACTTTGGATGGCTTTTATTTACGTGCTGATACGTAGCTCGACGGGCCGACGTGTTTTTCATGCTTCGGTCAGAGTTCCCTGGTTTCACATCATTAGAGTGTCTTCTTGGAAGGAAGCAGTGTTCCCCTCCCTGTCTATGGTGTCAACGTCGTCTTGCCACAGACATCCGGGCAAGAGCCAGCTTGCGTTTACAGCAGCACGAGGTTACAGTTCATTTGAGATGCAGATGAACTTTAACCACACCCAGACGAGTTCGTAGGCAGTGTTACTGTGGCTGCTTGTATGTCGTCCACAAGGTAATAAAAAGTAAACAAAGTCGCAAGCCCGAGTTTGGCTTCTGTGCAACGACGATAATAGGGACAAATGATGACAGTAGCTCCGCGAAAGTCAAACTTGGGTGAATATGGCCCTGGTGATCTTGTTTGTGTCCATGGGAGGGTTGAATTAAAGTCTGAGTTGGCGTTTGGACCCTTCAGTTTCAGGCTGAGGCGCGGTTGCGAGTGTGCTCATTGGTATGGAAGCAGCTGATGATAAGCTTGTGCTTGAGTAAAGAACACTTTTACCAAGTCCATTGGTTTGGTTTTGTAACAAGAGTTAAATGATGCAAATGATAATGTTATGATGTACGTGACGTACACTACATAGGTGCTACCTACCAACTCTATCATCATCATGATCGTAAATCGACCAATTCAGTAGGAAGCTCACCTTCCAAGTTCCCGCTTGTCGAGACTTCATTCGGCGATTTAGTTGCCGAGGGGAGGGTGAGGAAACTGCAGCCTGGTACAGTAATTAATTTTGCATGAGCGAGATGTGGATGGCCAAGCAAGATCCTTCCCCGCTCTCTGTTCTTTGTTCTGTTGCTTGTAAATGTATGTGAGATTGGTAAGAGCCGCCGGGGAAATAAGACGAGATGGAAAGTACTGCCTGCAGTTGTTGCTCGCTTGTTTGGGCAGGAAGGGATTGCCCAGATGGGTTCTATGACAGACTCGATCTTGATGACCTTGTTTGATCTTAGATCTCTCCATTCAAGGGCGCTTGACTTGCAGGCTTAGCAACCATCAAATCTACAAACCCCAATGAATCAGCCATCTCCATTGGATAATTGCCAGCCTTGGATGCAATCGAACGGTAGCGACGCGGCGTGAAATGACAGATACCGGCCCATAATGTTGTTACGTTTAGCCACTAGGACCATGTGCGACCTGCCTGCCTGGCTCTCAGAGGATGGATCAATGTTTGAATTTGCTTTGTTTGTTGACCTCTGGATGATCCCAACATGACATTACATCACCTGCCCCTCGCAGATGTATATTTTACTTGTCTGAGCTCGTCTTCGGTTTGGCGCATTTCCCCCCTCCCTCCCCCTCCATGTCTGTCTTGTCTGGTCGGCATTTTCTTCTTTGATGCTGGTTGTGAAAAATTAGCGTCAAACTCCATCTTTAGCGTCCACCACTTTCAACCTCAGAAGAAGTCATTCATTCGCCAGATGGCGCCGGATTACGCTAAACTTCAGGTAGACAGACTTTCTTTTGTTTTGACTTTGCACCACGCCATGCGATCGTGCTCCGATTGGTACGATAGCCTAGGGACAAATACACGATTGACGCCAAAAAATTGTGTACACACCCCACTCAGTCACTCACGGTCGCTCACACTCCTGGGACAACAAATCATTGCCCACTCTCTCAGAGTCTCTTCTCACCTTCCTCCTGATGCACACATACAAGCTTTGCGTCAACGTATTTGCACCCAGTCTGGGTGAGGTCTGCGGTTAGAATTTAAAGCCAAGTGAGTTTTTAACTCGAGTTGGACAGAAGAAAGTTGTCGGTGTATCATACCTTATGTACTGCCGAATATATGGTAGGCCGTGTTGGGGGAGGTTTGGTCGTGTAAGGCAAGGTCCAAGGTTGCTTCATCAATAAATAAACTTTCGCTCTCCTTGACCCCGTCTATTAAAAATCCGAGACCCTCCTTGACCTCTCCAAGTGCATTTCTACCCCTCTTCATTGAGTATGGACGGACTGGTTTGCCTGGGAATTACCTGGAAGCAACTTATTGCGTACGTACGTAATGATACAGATGACCGCTTGGACCTCAAGTGGCTAATCTGACATTCGAACCATCTCAGGCACATCGAGTCTCAATCGCGGCTGAAACAGCTTCGACTGGACTGCGTCGGCCAACTGCATACTGACTGCACATACAACACCGAGTCCAGCGCAACACTGTAGGATCTGCAAGAGACGCATTTCGGATCCTTGAATATCAAGGCGACCTGCACCATCTGCCGTATTTTACCTTGGGGCTTCTTTAACAACTCTCTACTCATCAGCATTTTCTCAGGTGTTTGGATCAACAATAGCATCTTCGAAACCAAGCAGAAAACCACTCTATTTTCCAACCATTCCACTTTAGTCCAAGCTTCTCTGAGCCCCTTGATCCCCGGACCTGATCCCCGGACACGATACTCGCTAGCGAAGGCCGTGTCCACCAAACACAAGCAAAGCGTCCAGCGCCCAGGCACAACAAGGACAAGGACCGGATCCAATTTACTCCATTGAACCAAAGACTTGGAAGCAGCCGAAGCAGCCCAGCCCAGCCCAGCCCAAGCAAGAAACCAAATCGATCAACAGTGCTTGGACCGAGCGTCAGAAGGAAACGGACCTTACTCACTTACTGTACCTTGACCTAGCTGAGGAATTACCGGGACGTGCGACAGATTCTCACCTCCAGCTACCGAGTATACCTTACCTTACCCTACCTTACCCTACCAGCTTACCTACAGACTACTTGCGCCCGCGCCGCACTTTGCGATTCTCGCTGCCGTTGTTACCCTCCAAGTTCTCACCTATCTCCACTACCTACTCTGCCTACACATCTGTATCTCTCTTAAAATAAGTGAGTGACTTTACTAAGGTAAGGTGGTTGACAATATCACACGGTCTTGCTCCCCCCTCTCCGTCCATCTCCCGTGTTCTGCTTCCAAACTATCCACTTCATTTCCCGTTTCTCCCCTTCATTCCCAACATCATCCCTCCATCTACACACATACACACATGCGCACACACATGCAGGATTTCGCAGGGTTGTCGTTTTCTTCAATCTTTGGTAGCCCAGGACAAGTAACTACTGGCATCAGTATCCGTACCACTCTTGAGTGTTACCTGGTCCGCCTGTCCCGTCACTCTGCTGCTACCCACCGAGTCGCACTCTCTGGGTTGGTCTCCATTCCCTTGGCTCCTCTTACACAAGGTGTTTAAAACTCCTTCGCTTGATTCAGGCACCAAGGTACAATCCCGTGTTCCCTCACCCCAGCGTATCTCAGTCACATACCAGTCTGGTCTTCGGGACACCCATACCTCCCACGCAGGCCCCAAATCCACCTACCTGCTGTAGGGATACCAAGCATTGCCAATCCTTCCCACCATCTTCTCGCTACAGACACTACCGCTGCCGCTACCGTTTCTCCCCTACCTAAGGTAGCCGTGTCCTGCGGCGGGGGTATGGAGAGTTTCTGGCGCCCCCTACATTAACCACAACGGCCCCCCTCCCCAATCCTCGCAACATTCATTGCAACTTGCACCACACCTGCTTGCTCTGCTCACTGCGACAGTCTGTCCTGTCTGTCGCACTCCTTTTCACGTCATTTTCTCAGCGCATTCTACCCATCATCTTGCTAACGCGACATCGCACTTACAGAGCGCACATCATACTTGTCTTGATTATAGCGACCTTCAGACCCAATTGCATACTGATATCATTGAGTCAATCATCGGTGCCAGTCATCAACGCGCAACTGTTTACCTCGATCCTCAACCACCACGTAAAGGCAGATTGCGCCAGACTACGATCCGCCTCAAACCATTCACCCCTACTAGGTTGTCACTCATCTCTCAAAATTTGACGACACACACATCAACAACTTTGTGATTGCGCCCGCGACTGCACCAATACCCACGACAAACGCGATTACGACAAGCTTGAACTCCCAGATCTCTTCGATAGTCGCAATCGCTTAACCCCAAATCGTATTTCCCCGACGAATTAGGTCTTGTCCCAGCTTATGCAACTGCACAGTGGGCAATGAACATTGATCGAAGCGCACCATCATCCGATCCAGCAAGGATAGCATCTCCAACAGCCAATCTTTCCTATCGCGCAAGTCCTTTGCCGCCTCCATCCGCTACTTCAGTCAAACCCTCTGCTGCGACGGCAGCCCTATCCAATACCACAAGTACAGCTGTATCTGCTGCAACACTCTCGGCCATGGCTACACCTAGTTTTCTCACTCCTGGCCTTCGATCTATGGCACCACCATATCCTCATCCCCAGATATCGCGCGATATCCACAGATACACCCCGGCACCGATAGGCTTTTCATCTTCCCCGGTTCATGTCTTGATTCGAAATCTGCCGCTAGAAACCTCCAGGGAGTCGGTGCGGTTCATGCTGGTTTGGTCGCAAGATCTTGTTGATGTCGAACTCCTTCCTGTGGAATCTGCAGACCAGCGCTATCTTACAGCATTGCTCAAATTCCGAACAAGGGCAGGCGCTGAGGATGCCAAAAAGCTGCTGGATGGGTGCGCGAACACTTCCAATAGTGCGCTTTTGAGAGTCGAAATTCTCGGCGACGAGCCCCCTGTCGCGCATCAACAGCCTACAGAACCTGTTCACAGCGGGGTCTTTCAATCACTGGAGAGCATCTCCCCTCAAACAACCAATGTTTACCCTGGGCACGACCTTCCTCAGAGTGAGGACAACTTGCAGAAGATTTTCTCCTCACAATCTCCCATCGGCAATCACCTGACCGAGCCTGGCAGGGTGACAGGCAAGAGCCTTATCGCCAATGATTCTTTTGACGATAATTATGACACCCTCAACCTCGTTGAAGACGCACTTTCCTACGGCAATGCACCGCGCAGGGCCACAGTTCCTAGTGTTCCTATCAACGGGATGGCTGCTCTTTCACTCAACACCAATATGCCTCCTTCTGCTCCTTCATCTCTACCTCAATACGGAAGCGGAATGTCAGCACAGTCTGGCCCTATGTCTCCGTCGGGCAAGGGTCCTTTTGGGTACCAGGCTCCAAACCAATCACCATTCGGACGTATGAACTATCCACACGCCAATACGGCTGATCAGAACCCCCCTTGCAACACTCTGTATGTTGGTAATCTTCCCATGGACACGGCGGAAGAGGAACTCAAGACTCTCTTCTCCAAGCAGCGGGGCTACAAACGTCTTTGTTTTCGCACGAAAGGAAATGGGCCTATGTGCTTTGTCGAATTCGAAGACATCCCATTCGCTTCCAAGGCACTGACGGAACTCTATGGGAAACTTTTGTCCAACAGCAATAAGGGTGGAATTCGACTCAGCTTCTCGAAGAACCCCCTTGGTGTGCGAGCTGGTCAGAATCCTGCTCACGCAAACCCAGGTGCACTGGGTCAAATGAACGGCAACCTTGCTGCTTCTATGAATGCTTTCGGGTCAGCTAACCGCCCAGCTCCTGGACCACCTCCTGGTCTTCCCCAGCCAATGCTCGGAAACGGCCGAGGCCCCTTCCATGGAGGGGCTCCGATGAACTCCAGCCCCGCTGGCACTTTTGGTGGTTTCACACATCAAGCCTGGCCTGTTCCTGTGTTCAACAACCATGCTACGCCATCGCCTCACAGTGCCCATGCTCAATCATCAAGCTTCAGTCCAACTCACATGCTGGGAAATTAAACAAAATACTCTCCATGGTTAACGATCACAGTCCACATCGTTGGGTTTTATGTGTGACTCTACCTGTTGTTGGCTTGGAGACTTTCGTGCTTAATTTATGCATTGCTTTTTTATGTTTTGTTTTGTTTCTTCCTATTTCGTCAATGATTCCCCATTTTTTACGAACACCCATTCATTTTCATCGTTTATATACGGCGTTTTGATTCCTCGCAGTTGGGAGTGCTTCTTCAACTTACAGCCGTCTTGTGGATGGTTCGGCTGGGTGTGGATATAATTCAGAGCCGACAGACACCAAGTATCATCAGTCTTGATCTGGTGTACCTAGGCGCACTGTTTGCCTGGATCTCGTAATTCGAGTTCAAGCCACAAACTCTAGCTACGAACCTCTTCGACTTGACCGCACCCCTGATTTCTCTCAATACAATTGGCAACTGCAACTGAGGCGCAATCCATAACTTAACGGTACAAACCCAAAAGCAGAAGAGAAAAGCAGCAAAACAAAGAGGGTAGAGCATGGCGAAATTCACCAAGGGAAGTGAAGAAGAATGAAGATCAGGAGTTGAGATGTGGCCAGTCACAAAGGAGAGTGTTTTTGCATGAAAGAACGGGGTTCAGGGAAGCGCGGGTTATTGAGATTCATTTGGTTCATATCAATGCTGGGAGTTTATTTGGGATAAGGTAAGGATGGATCAGGATTCCCTGGAGCATGGAAGAAACTGAAGCGGTCGTCCCGCGTTTGCATTCAGAAGGATTGGAGCATGGGATCGGACGGCTACACGAGATCAAGGACTCGACACACGCATACCAAGATATCACCACTGGGCATTTCCAGCAGACCGCATCGGCATTGAGGAGTTCGTTTATCTGATCCATCACCGCGGAAACTGGCGTTTGAAGTCCTTCTTCATGGTTATCTTGGTCAGACTTGGCAACGGCATAAGGCATACTTAAGCTCATCTGTTGCTGTTGGATCAGAGCTCTTTGAAATATCGCATTTGGAAGGGAGGACAGCATCAATGGAACATTGGGAAGGGACTGGGCTTAACGCGATATATCCATATATGCACCGCGTCAGGCGCAGGAATAGGGCGTTTCCTTTCTATTTCTTTCTCTTTTTCTTTTCTTTTCGTGCATCAGAATTCGGGCTTTTACGCGAGTTGGGGCATGCATTTGCAAGCACAGCCTTTTACATCTTCATCAAGGCGGACGAAGCATAGCATGGTGGATTATAGGCTTTCTTCTGGTAAATGTTGTTGAGTCGCAACGACACGGCTACAGATTCCTACCTTCGGTCGGTAGGCGGTTATTAGTGATAGAGTACAAGTTTCAGCTGTTTATTTGTTTTTAGCTTTCGTGTCTCCACGTGCATGTAATGTCTGTTCCTTCGTTCTTTGCCAATCTAAATCAGTCCATTACTTAACTTCCCGTCCACATTACGAAGTATTGACGAATATTGAGGGGCATTCGCATGCCACTGGCCTCATCATCACAGGATTATTGGTTTGTCAGCGCTTGAATTGCAGTTTCAATGTCATTACATGCCCAGTCAGCTTGACGTTGCAACCACTACCCCAAAGAACGTGGTGTATTGAAAGTGAAGCCGACGATATCCTCGTCCATGATCAAGAAATGCAACTTGTATACGCTCAAGTCCTAGAGATTTGATCATATGAGTATCAACCAGCATTACCGGTGAAGCATATCCATCTCGATGAGTCCGGTTATTAACCAATGGCTCTGAGGCTTCCACGCATACAAATGCTGACAGGGTAGGGTAGCATTGTGTGGCTTGACAGATGCAAGTTAAAGTAGGTCGTGTATCTGAGTATGCGCTTCGTGTGTTGCTGCATTCGCTGCAGTCGGCGCTTCGTACACAGACCGAGGCGCTTATGCCTGTGTAGATGCTCGTGCTCGTGTTACGCACCATCGGGAACTGGTGATGGAAGGCCCCAGAGGATGGTGCTCACCAATATGCATCTGTCTCTGTTTACAGCCTATAGATGGGTTACACTATACTACACAACAATATAGCTTACCCAGGTTCGCGGGCCGAGCCCTCGAGGGGCGGACGGGACGGGCGCGGAAATTGCGAAGGGGAAGAGATGCTGTGCGACAAGGGAGGTTGTCATGTGGGAATAACCGGTAGCAAGGGGGTGTGTGGGCGAGGACAGGGGGTGGAAATGTGTGATTTCTGTGTTGAGACGCCTGCAGAGGCACGGAGATTGTGTGGTCTGAGGTTATTGGACGGGAGAGGAGGCGGAGATGATCCGGTGGGTAGGGTGTAAGTTGAGAGGTTGATCAGATAATCTGTTTCTGGTGTTTGTGTAGGTATATGTGAGGGGGATGCTCATGCAGGCATGATAAACTTGGGACGACGGTGGTGGCAGTGGAAATGGAGTTGCAGTAGAGTACTACTAGTCGATGAACCCAGTGATCGAGTATGTAAATCACCTGGAATGAGACTGAAACCGTAGCTATGAGATTGCTTACTGCGTGAATGAGGCATCTGTCACATGTTTACCAGAGTGGTAGTGTTCCAGTTTGATGTTGACAACGCCAACTGTTTGGGGATAGTTGAGATGTCACATCCATTGGCTGTAGATAATACATAGGGCAAAAACTCCGCTAGCTCTACGAGTCCACTGAGCCATCATTTGCCCAACTCATGGTCATAGTCGCCCATAGATCATGGTACATAGTTTGCTGCCCATCCGTATTCAGACCCGGTGTGAGCATTGCAGAATTCATGTCAAAGTCTGTGTCCCACGCCGATATGTATGGCTGCATATCTTTATCAAACATGGGGCATCCTTGGTGTCCCACGCCCCTTGAAGTCAGACTCGGTGCTGTGAGCATAGCAATGCGTCTGTCGTACTTTGATTTCACAACACGCAGTATCACACGGCTTGCGGAGAGTACGTCGACACGTTTACTAGACGGTGTGAGATCCTCCGGCCCGTCACACATGAACTCGAGGAATTCGTCAAACCGTAACTGTGAGCGTGCCCAAGCATGATCCCAGTCTGGGACCTCAGATATGGGGAAAGAGAGTCGAACAGCGAGGATCACGGAGAGGATGAACTTTGTCCAATCGATGCTTGTGAAGTACTTGAAGCTGTCGAGATTGAGGAGGTAGTCGAACAGGGCGCGGGTGTTATTCACGCAGCGTGTGAGACGGGCTGATGATGGGTGGATGAAATGAGGCTTTCTTGTGTTGGCGCGTGTGAGGCAGAAGATGGCACCACCTTGCAAAAAGACGTCGAAGAAGAGATGTGCGAGTTTCACAGGTGCTGTATAACGTTAGAAAGGTTAGCACTGCAATAAAGATGGCTTACCTGAACGAGAGAGATGTGGTACCATGGTCTCTTTCATCTCCCTGTGCTGCATCTCGAGTCCCAGCAGCATAAGTTGAACCTGCTGGTTCACCTGTGGATCATTATCTCTTATCGAGTTGTTCGCCGTGGTCGTCATGTTTGCAAGTCGAACAAGGTAGCTCAGTGAAACATCACCATCAACCTCGGCGTGGCGGTGAAGTAGTTCGCAGCACGTTGCGGTCCAGGGCGTCCACTGGGGCATGAGCAGATCCATCTTCTTCCAAGTGCAGAGGAAGCTGTCCAAACTGTGAGTAAGTTGGTATTGGTGTATCTCGAGGAGGACGTACTTGGACACGGCGTAGTGGTATGCTAGATACGCCCGTAGTCTGTCGAGCTGCATACTGCTCATATCGCCCGGTATTGTGTTGACAAGGTTAGGCATTTCTTGGTCGAGATCGAGGTCACTTAACAGATCACCAGCCATACGGTAGTATTGGAAGGCCTGTCTGTTCTTTGGCCTCAGATGAAATGGGTACCTGTGAATGTTAACAACATGCCAAACTTGTTCGGGGCTAATCTACTGACCAAGCGCAATAGATGAGAATGCCTTGTAGCAATTCCATGCTTCTCTCGCCGCTTGCTACAAACTTGAGGCCCAATACTTTTCGAAATTCATCGTCGTAAAGCGTATGTCCCTGCAAAGTGCGCGATCCAGAAGCTGCAGCCAATATCGCCAGCAAGACAAACGGCCTGGTCGCAGCAAGGCTGGCCACCGTCTCATCAGGCCTCAACACAATGACAGGATAATGAACCAACATCCCCCGAAACGAAACTAACAGCGACTCTGCAGAGTCAAGGTTGAATTGGGGCTTCGCATGGAAAGACTGTATCGAATGCGTGTGAGACGAGGACGGCGTAGGAAACCCCGTGACGGGCGAGTCTTCGAAGCTACTGAGATCCGCATCTGGATCTGAAGGGAATATTGAGTCTATGAACTGCGCATGTGAGTCCCGAAGGTTGTCAAAGTTCTCATCGACGTCCAATTGTGTTGGAACTTCAAAGTCAATGGTGAAAGTCTTTGATGGCGCTGGTGGTGGCGGAGGCGGTGGTTGATGAGTTTCTATCGCGCTGTATCAAGTTATCAGCCTGTTTTCCCAATGCGACAGAATATTTCCTACTATTTTGTCCTTCTTCTGCGCGTTCGCGGGCCTGTTCGCGATATACATTCTTTCTTGGACTCCAGACACCTTTCCACGTCAGACGATGCCATGTAAACGAATCTTCGATTGAGAGGTCTTACTTGCGACAGACCCCAGGCTGTTCACTCGGCTGGCATTTTATCTTTGTAGCGCGGCAGGCTTCACAGGCTGTTGAGACCCTCTTGCGAACTGGACAAGCCTCAGCTGTCGGTGACTCGCTCGCCATTTGTGCGAGATGTCAATTGGCAGCGGTTTAGTGTTGAATTGAACAATTGACAAAAGTACAAGACCAATGATTGAACAGTGAAAGGAAGAAACCCTCGAGCGACAACGTGAAAGCGAGAGTCGTGACTTGCGCCGGTGTAATGAGGAACCGAATCATGCTCAATCGCCGACAGCTCTCGGATCTTATGACCCACACAAGACAGCTGACATGTAAGCACACATATATACTATACAGCCAGTGAGAGTATCGAGTTTCGAGCGATGTTCCAGAAAAATAGAACAAAGAGGAATAGATGGTGCCCAGAATATATAGGAAAATACTGCTTCTTCAATTAATGTCTTGCCCAAACCCTCTCTCTGACACGCCTGATCAGAATCTATACTGACGCCCAAATAATAATATTACACCGGTTGTCAAGACACTACTAACACATATACATATATACCTCATTCAACCACTGTATACTTCAGCCCCGGGTTTGCCTCCTTCAGAGTCTTTTCCACGATCTCCCATAGCGGCACTGCCAGCTTCTTAATATCATACGCAGCCGTCTTGAGTCCATGTTTTTCGTGTCTATGCCTTGAGAGGTTGGATGCTGCACATCCGATCGAGCAGTATATAGTGTCTCTCTTTTGATCAATGCATTCCTTGCACGCCACTGCGTTACTAGTCCAGTCTTGCATTTCGATGTCTTCGTCCTCATACTGCACACATCTATCTCCGCTCTCGCAGTCGTGCTCCAATTCATTGTGGTCGCCCTGCTCAGGTTAGATCCAGTCAGTCTGAAGAAGCTGGCAACACTCACAGCACCCTTTTCGAAGCATTCATCCGAGCACCACACTGTTAATTCCCTCTTGCCCCCCATGTGAGCAAGTGCTTGGCACACCGAGCATGAGAGAACATCCTTAGGGTCCACTGTAGCTGCACAAACCGCACAGGGTGGTAGGTTGTATAAGTCCTGGGAAACAGCGGGCGTTTGGCTTGCTTGGGCTCGAGTCTTATTCTGCAGCCTGTTCTGCTCAAACGCCATCTTTGCTCGGCGCAGCTCATCCAGTCGATTTCTGTGATGCTCACGTTGCGGTTCCGTCATAAGGCTCGCTTTGCGATCTTGTGAGATCCGGTCGATGACTTGCTCAATGGACATGGTGTCGCTGGCCGCATATGCTTCCAGGTATTGCTGCGCACTTTCCACCACTTCTCCCGTTTGCGAATCTTTGAAGAAGAAGTTGATATAGATCTGTTTCAATGATGCTGCGTCGTTTTTGGCGACTGTAATCTGATCGGTAAGGGAGTCCACATCGGCTTCCCAGTTTGCTGGCTTGCCAACACCCTCCCATATCCTCTCAGTGAGCTCTTCCCAGCGCTTAACCGGGTCGTCTAGCATTGCTCGCAGTTCGTCTTGATCTGCCCCGCCGTCTCCTACTGAGAGGAACTGCGGGTACATGCGTAGCACCCAGCGGTACCATGCCTCTTTTTCCGATGCAATACTGTCTTCGATTGACTTGAGGTCGATCTTCTTGTGATCTTTGACATCGGTAAACATGACGTCCAGTTCATTCAGAAATGCTCTTCGCTCTGAGAACCACTCTCTGCCTTCAGCATCGCAATATCGAGCACGCATCCTGTCGAGGACTTTGGGGAAACACTTTTCGCATTCCACCACGTTTGCTTTTTCGCATTCTGATAAACACGTCTTCTTGATAGCCTCCACTTCGTCGGCACATTGTTGCCTGTGCACTCTGGCCGCGCTCAACTCTGTCCAGTGCTCTGGCAGAGCAACCTTGCCCGTCGAACCCATCTCTCCCAATCCTGACGTGACTAGGTTGAATCCGTTCTTGATCTCTAAGTAGTAAACTTGCAAGAATGATTAATTCGGGGGTTTGCCAAAAGGTCAGTAAAGTTGAGGTCGCTGAAATTTATATACAAGATGAGAAACGGTACTGGTTATGTCAATGAATTAGCAGCTCGTAGTTAATGCGTGGTCTCTTTGTGATTTATAAGTCGTGTTAACGTCGCCTATTATTGTTGTTGATGAAATGAGAAGCAGGGGTCATCAACTGGAGATCTGTAGGTAAATCCCAAACTGCCGATGTTTAGGCGGTGTACATCAGCTGGGTAAGGTAGCTGTTTCATCCTCAATCGCTACAGACCATTGACAAATTCTCTCTTTATCCTACTAGCAATACAGTCAAGATGTTATGTAGGATAAAAGAACATGTTGAGTCACTATGTTCCTGGCCTGGGAAGCAAGTCTTGAACAGCACCAGCTTGGCCACCTGAAAACTCTCAGCACCTCGACTTACATGGAAATGAGTGCCTGACATATCAATCAGATCAACAATGCCCATAATGACAGTAATGTAACCACTTCTTGTATATAGAAAAAGATTAAAAGATGACGCAGTAATCTCTCTCGTATAATTATTTCATTTGCATGAATTTCTATCAACTCAAAAGGCATTGCTGTACATGTCCTGGCGTTATGCACATACCGAGGCGCCCTATCTTATCAGTCGCATCAACTTTCATCGTTTCGCGATCTCGGCGCATTCGTTCGTCCGCTAACAAACAACCATCTCTAATATCAAGCAACATGGTACGTCTCTTCCAATCCCAAATTACGAAAATAGCATGCTGACATAGAGTAAGGCCGACAAACTCCGCACCCAGCAAGAACTCGAGCGCCTCCAAGCGAAATACGTCGGCACTGGTCACCCAGACACGACAAGCTGGGAATGGCGCACCAACATTCAGCGCGACACATACTCTTCCATCGCCGGCCATAGGCCTCTTCTCTCTTATATCGCGCTTGCTGAGAATGAACCCATTACCAAGATTCGCGCGCAGATGATCAGGGTATGTCAAGCTGCTCCTTGTCAAAGGCCAATAGCTAACCTGTTGGGCGCAGAAAATGGTACAGCCTTGTGGTCCTCCTCCGCCACGCGAGGATTAGAGCGGACGGACAATACGATATCGCAGGCAGAGCTAAGAGATTCAACATGGCTTCGTTTCGCTCGGGAGTTTGGAAAGGCGTCAAGGATTAATGCCACTATGGTAGGGAAGACTTTAGACCTACAATACGATATTTCACCATACAAGATCGCGAACAGTCTCAATCTTTAAAATTAATTGTTTGGTCTGTATTGGGGTATCATAATGTCGACATTAGTCCTCATCTCTTTTGTCTTATCCCTGCATTCGACTGCCTTCGCCCACAGCTTCGTCGTCTTCTTCGCCGTCCTGTTGAGGCGCATCCCTGATGTTCAGACTCGCACGAAGCTTCTTCTCGTTATCGTCATTCCAGCTGTCGCCATAAACCTCCCGCGTCATGCCCATCACACCGTCAACGCCGACTTCTTCTTTTCCACGAGGACCGACATGCCACGTCGTAGTTGGGTCGCCGTCTTGGCCCAAAGGTGGTCTTTCAACTCTCTTGATGACGTAGCCTTGTTTCTCCATCCTCTTCAGGATTATTTCTGTCTTGTCCATTGATACATTCTGGTCGGCGTTGAGCCGCTGGAGATAACGCTTCAACTTCTGTTCGCTCAATTCTCCGCCGCTCAGGGAAATCACCGAAATGACCATTGTATAGAATCCTGCGTATGTAGCTTCGTCGTCCGCACTTGGTGTCTTGGATGGGGCGAGGATTGTTGCATGGCGATACGCTTCTGGTAATATCGACGTAAGGATGTAGGCACCAGAACCGAGCTTGGGCTGGGCATTAGCCTTCATAGCTATGTGTTATTAGTAGCTGAATCAAGAACGATGGACGATAGCTGTACCTTGACGCTTTTCCTGGAGTGACATCTTCTCTCTAACAGGCAACTCCCTCAATTCCATGCCCCAGACCCGTCTGAGCTGTGTTTGCGCCGAATCGAAGATGCGCCTGAATGATCGGCCTTGGGTGCCGAGGACTATTCCTGAATTAGCTTTGTCCTGTTATCCCACGGTTGCCATTGTTACCTCGCTCTTTAATACCGTCTCGGCGGATCGCGGTTCTCGAATATTCGCAGGAAATAACGTACCGCACCAGCTTCTTCACCAGCTGATCGTCGGCACTTTGGGTATGGTGTTGGTCTCCATCCATTTCGGCATCGCTTGGTTCTTGTTCGTTCTCGTCCTCAGAGTCGACCCTATTTCGTTGACGGGGACGAACATCTTCCTCTGATTCCTCGTCTTGGGCCTGAAGCGTATAGTAGGTTAGAGCTTCGTCCTGTCAGTGAATCACTGACGAATTGTACTCACGGGACGGCGGCGCCTTTGTGTAGGCATAGTAATAGCGAACAATTGTTGTTACTCAATATCAAATCTCACACAGATACTCATATGATGCAACCAAAGTTCCAATGATGCAAATATTGGCAACTTGTATGAATGAAAAAGATGGAGGGGCCGGCTTATACTGACGAAAGGCTATACGCGGTCTTCCCAACTTAGACGCGTTGAGCCTTATCAGACAGGTGGGAGCTTATCGCTTATCGGGTTATCGCTTATCGGATAAAATTTCTAGGGTCACTGGTCTCTACCTTAGTTTTGGGCAATTTTGGTCGCATTGTCGCATTCTGCTCCCTCATGGGGCTTCCCTAATCATTCTTTACTTCTCAATGATTTCTAGAGCGGTGCGAGTGCCGCGTATTCGCCTGGCATGCAGGTTTGGCTTAATAACACAACGCAGCACTGGACTGGGCTTCCGACCAAGTCCAGTCCATGACGGCCTGGCACGACGATTATATACATCCGAACTTGGAAATGCAGGGGAGAATAAGGTTGAGCCTTTTATAACAGATACGGACGCTTCGAAAATAAAGCCGAAAGAAGAGAAATTGGACGAAGAGCCAAAGGTTTCACCTACAGGGTCAGAAGACGCGACACCGGCTCCGAATCTTCCCTCCTCCACCGACGTCGACTCTGAGCCAACTAGTAGCTCCGAGGAACCTCACTTAGACGAGGACCCGATCTCCAAATCTGAGTTCGACGCAAAGGCATCTCCTGGCGATGAGACATTCCCGGAGAAGCCAATTGACGATGCACAAGCAATACTGGACGGTGCACTGGACGAATCCCCATCACAACCGCGATTGTCAAGATATGTTTTACCTGACCTGCCCGACTTCCCCAGATCGTCGTCAAGACATTCACCTAGCTCCGAACAGTATGCGCTGGACGACCTTTTGGGAGAATCGCAGAAGCCAGGGATCGAGGTATCTGCACTACCTGAACTAGAAGCCCAAGATGTTGGGGACGAGCTCATGCCTTTGCCAAAGAGACGCCTCTACGATCGTCTTATGCACGATGAATCGCTTGGAGTCTCTACTCTGGGAATGCCAGCTGATGCCATTATCATCAACAATCCGAATAGGACACGCATCGAGCGGCCAGCCCCCACCGTGATGGAAGCGAAACCTATAGAAAACACAGATCTTGACTGGGAAAATTTGACTCCTTCCGAAATGACAGAGCCTGAATCTGAAGAGATATTCAAGAATATCGACGAACTTTGCCCCGTGAGTCGTATTTTGCGTCTAACTGATATCGACAAGCTCGTCAACACTCTTTGCGACGGTTTCACAGTCACTCAGCTACGGGAGTATCACAGTGTTCGCAAGCCACAACCCAGGGATCATGACATGGTAAAATACGAGTGGATAGAACAGATTGTACCATGGACATCAATGAACTCGGTTCGACTGCGTGGCAATGATAAGGCCACTCTTGCTCAGAAGATCGTGTTGGATAAATGGAAGATCGAGGTTCAGGAACATGCGGACGATCTTGGAAAAGCGTTTATTTGGATGGATCCTGACATCTTCCCCTTTCTCACATGTTTGTTCCCAAAAACCTGAGCCTGGTGGTATATTTGCTGACTGACGGTCATAGATGGCCCCAACAACATAGGTCGTCTACTCTGGGAGCTCAGAAGAGATTTCGTAGTCGGCGAAGACGAGAAGTTAACACTGCATACCCCAAAATGCCGCCTCAATATTACAGCGAAGAAGTCGACTACTTACGGTATCCTCGCTCACATCGACCAGGCCGTGCAGAGGATGAAGAGCCGGGTTATCGACGTTGCCCCTCTTCTCCCGAAGACTCGATCAGTAGCCCTGACGCCGACAGAGCGCAAGGAGCTCGGCCGGCTAACCAAGACTTCAATCACGCCTGTAAGGCATGGCTCCCAGGAGGTACGAAATTCCATTTGTCCATGAAACGTACAATATCATACTAACTGGTTTCTAGAAGTTGCGCGTCTCCTGGATGCCCCAGCCTGACGAGCCTCCAACCGAGACAGAAGACCTTGCAGACACAGTATTCCGCTTAATCGTTGGCCGTGTCGTCCCGGGCGCGGACCACGGTGTCCTCCAGTGTCTTCCGCGATCGGACGACCAAGACCTAGTCACTGGCCAGCCCGTCCCTGTACAACGCCAGGCTCGGGCTATGTCGTGGAGAGACAAGCTCCAGAAGTGGCTGAGAATTGTAGCACCCATCAGCAAGAACACTCAAAACACTCCACCGCTAGGGCTGTCCTCCGAATCAGCGATTCCCGAAGAGAAATGTCCTCGCACTGGAAATGTAGACGCTACTACAGCAACGTTTGGCCATATCCTACACCAACGCGCTAGCACTTCGATGAAGGAACTCTACCGCAAACGCCGCATCCTAGCCCCCCTTACACCTCATCCCGCTGCTTTCTCCGCCCTCAAACCCGACAACGACTTGCCCCTAAAGGAGACTACTTCCATTGTTATGCACCTTTCGCCTCATTTCGATTCTTCAAAGAGTCCAGTAACGGATCCTAAGAAGAAACTCCCTGCAGATCCTGCTGTCTATATTACCATCCCCGTCCACCCTCAGGCTGATCTCGACAACTTCAAGATCCCCGACGACGTAACCGCCCACATTTATGTGCCCTGGCACAACAGCGACGTGCTGCTTCCTACAGAGGCTGTAGATGTCCGCCTTGAGCACAAGCGCTCCCATACTCTCCCAATAACTCACCCAGGCATGAAGAGTTTCTTTGAGAAATCGCAACTCAACCTTCGTGAAGGTCAACTTCGAACACCGAGCCAGGCCATGCTCAGGGTTCCAGGATCATGGTTGCGAGGAAGTGGCAGCGGCAGAATGAACACCGAGAAAAGAGACGTTCTTTACGACTTCCGTGGAACTGAGATCCATCAGACCGTGGAAATGCCTTGGAATGGCCACACACTGCGCTACTCTAGCATCGAGGCTGGACAGCACGGCGGCCAACGCCAGGAGATTACACTCCAGGCTGGTTTACCAGGCGAGAACCCAGTTGCTTTCAAGGATGAGAGACGTGTAGGCTTTTTACAGCTGGTCGAGGACATGGCCACTGGAAAATGCTTCTCCTGGTCTGAAGGCTACAAATCCATCAAGAGCCACCAGCTAGAAGATTTCAGTTACAATCTGTTTGAAGAGGATCTCCCTGAGGACGTTATTGTCGACAACGAAAAGTTTGATTCGCGCGGTCGCGTCAATCGATACAGACCAGCTACGAGCGGAGACAGTGACAAGCCTGATCCGCGTGGCCGCTTGAATCAACATAAGTCAGCCATCGAGATGGGCAATGATAGGTTTGATTCGCGTGGTCGTGTCGGTGAGCGTGAGTCAGCCACGAAGGCGAACGGTGGCAAGCTTGAAATCCGTGGTTGTGTGAATGAACGCACGTCTGGCCCAAAGCCAAAGACAGGAGCTCCAGTTGAGATCTTTGACGACATAGAGGCATTGTTTGCGGCGGAGGGCCAGACTTTTGAGCTCAACCCCGACAATACACCCAAGCCTGACGAGCAACAGCTTGACGAGACCAAATTTGACGAGAAAGTGTCTGATGAGAAATATCCCGATCCTATCGCCAAAAGGAAAGCGACAGATAATCTCATGAGTTTCCTCGACGAGTACGCCAGCCCTAAGGCCTTTGTGAGTGAAGACAACAAGAAGCTCTACGGCATCGATGCTGCCTACCACCACAAGAAGTCAAGGACGAGCGTTCCTAAGGATACTTCTCCGATCGACAAATTGCCAGATTTGCCAGAATTTCCAGAAGCCACGCCCCCGAAACCTAACAACAACTTGCCAGATTTATCAGAATTGCTAGAAGACAAGGCCACACCCCCAAAACCTCAAAAGGAAGATGTTGCAACTAAAAAAGAGAAGACTCGCAAAAAGGTCCAGAGTGAGTACTTCGCAACCAAGGAGCCAGTACCCAAGCCCAAAGCAACGCCAAAGAAATTAGCAACTACCAGGAAAGCCAAGGACAAGCCAAGCAAATATACCCTCCCAGAGCTACAGAAACCCGCCACAATGTCAGATGCAGATGCATTTGCTGCTCAGTTCGCCAGACGAGCGACTTCAGAGAACAGAGGGAAGGACCAAAATAGTGTCATTGGGTTCTTCGACACCCTTCCAAACGAGAAGCCTGCTAAAAGGCAGCCCGCTCAGAAAAAGAAAACGTCTACTTCAAAGAGAAAACAACCGACATCGAGTAACTCGAAACGCAAAAGGCTTTGAACCGCTCTCAAATGAAGTGTTTGAACATGCTACGACCGAAACGATGTCAGGAGTACGAACAAGGACGATCATTCATGAGGCTTGTGTGTCACTCTCTTGCGCCTCTGTTTCTCTACAGCGCCATGCTGGTCGTGACTTGCAACGTTATACATGAGGAAATCGTAAAGATTGCGAGAGGCAGCTTTGGATACGCAGAAGAAAAAGGAAAAGATACTATTGTATACTAAAATAGCATGTATATCATATGTAACATCATTATTAGACGAATATATAGAGGAAAGGGGCATTATGTATCATTACACACCAAAAATACAACATCAACAATAAATCACGGTACAGTGCACACTGCATCACTGTGATCGCCACACACACTGAACCATCCGCCTGAACGAACTACTGACGCTCTAAGGATCTGCTTCAACTTACAGGTAATCCAAGTCAATCAATTGAGCAGAAATTACATCACGAGAAGCTTCATTTGCAGCAGTCACACATCACATCACAAGCATCATAGGTAGGAACAAGAAACTTTTGCACGAATCACTTCTAGACTCTCTATTCTTTTTTTGATTTGCACACAACCGAGATCCTGGCCTTTTTTCTTTGCCTCTCATTATGTGCCCCCAGACAAAAGCCGAGTGCTCATGCCAACATGATCATTTCGTCGTAGAAGCGAGTACATCAGCCCTTGGGCGTGAGATCGAGGTCGTAAGATCCCACTGAAGGTTGTCATTTCAGAAATAAGTTGCTTATTTCTTGGCGGCCTTGGCAGCGGACTTGGTGACCTTGCCGGCAGCACCGCTGGACTTCTCGACGGCCTTGATGACACCGACGGCGACAGTCTGTCGCATGTCACGGACGGCGAAACGACCCAGAGGAGGGTAGTCAGTGAAAGCCTCAACACACATGGGCTTGGAGGGAACCATCTTGACGATGGCGGAGTCACCAGACTTGATGAACTTGGGGGCGGCCTCAGTGGCCTTACCGGTTCGGCGGTCGATCTTCTCCTGGATCTCGGCGAACTTGCAGGCAATGTGGGCAGTGTGGCAATCGAGGACGGGAGCGTAACCAGCACCGACCTGACCGGGGTGGTTGAGGACGATGACCTGGGCGGTGAAAGAAGCGGCACCCATAGGGGGGTCGTTCTTGGAGTCACCAGCGACGTTACCACGTCGGATGTCCTTGACGGAGACGTTCTTCACGTTGAAACCAACGTTGTCACCGGGCTGGCCCTCAGTGAGCTGCTCGTGGTGCATCTCGACGGACTTGACTTCAGTGGTGACGTTGGAAGGAGCGAAGGTAACGACCATACCGGGCTTGATGACACCAGTCTCGATACGGCCGACGGGAACCGTTCCAATACCACCGATCTTGTAGACATCCTGGAGGGGAAGACGGAGGGGCTTGTCAACGGGACGCTTGGGGGGCTCGATGGAGTCAATGGCCTCGAGGAGGGTCTTGCCACTGAGCTTGCCGGACTTGATCTCACGCTCCCAACCCTTGTACCAGGGGCAGTTGGTGGAGGGGGTAAGCATGTTGTCACCGTTGAAACCGGAGATGGGGACGAAAGCGACAGCCTTGGGGTTGTAGCCGACCTTCTTGATGAAAGAGGAGGTCTCCTTGATGATCTCCTGGTAACGGGCCTCAGACCACTTGGTGGTGTCCATCTTGTTGATGGCGACAATGAGGTTCTTGACACCAAGGGTGTAGGCAAGAAGAGCGTGCTCACGGGTCTGACCATCCTTGGAAATACCAGCCTCGAACTCACCAGTACCGGCGGCAATGATGAGAATGGCGCAATCGGCCTGGGAAGTACCAGTGATCATGTTCTTGATGAAATCACGGTGACCGGGAGCGTCTGAGTGATATATTAGTACGAAGAGAAGTAGAATGAAGCATGAGCGACAACATACCAATGACGGTGACATAGTAGCGAGGAGTCTCGAACTTCCAGAGAGCAATATCGATGGTGATACCACGCTCACGCTCGGCCTTGAGCTTGTCAAGAACCCAGGCGTACTTGAAGGAACCCTTACCGAGCTCAGCGGCTTCCTATTGTTGAATGATTAGTGACTGCTTGACACGTGACGACGCACTCATTGAGGTTGTAATGGTAAGAGGGCAAACGCGCCCCGTCGCTCAAGTGGCGGGGTAAATGCCCCACCAAAAAAATTACGGTCATATTGCAAAATTTTTGGTCTCGAGCGGGGTAGCGGGCACGTTTCGAGTCGTAGGGGAAGTCGATGGGCAAAGGACGCGCGATCGAAGGGAAAGTGACTAACCTTCTCGAACTTCTCGATGGTTCGCTTGTCGATACCACCGCACTGGTAGATCAAGTGACCGGTCTGTGAAACGATGTCAGTATGTTGCCTTTGAGAAGTACCCCGCCAGGTCTTGGTCGGGATTGACGATGGCAGATAAGCTCATTGTCGAGGAGAGTACTCACAGTGGTCGACTTGCCAGAGTCGACGTGGCCGATGACGACGACGTTAAGGTGAGTCTTGTCCTCCTTACCCATTTTGACGGTTGTGAATGGTTTGTGATAAGGTTTTTGATGTACGTGCTGTGAAGAGGTCAGCGGCCGAAGAGGCAACGTGAGGAAAGCAGGCGATTATCAAGAATATCTCCAAAGAAACCTGCAATGAAGCAATAGATCTTGTCGATGTTCTTGATCAAGGCCTTGAAGGGTTGCACATACAAAATCGCAGATCGGATGCTTGAACCGGGTATGCGAGACGAGGAGGGAAGAGAAGAAAAATTCCAAGGGAAGTGGTGGGAGGAGGAGATTTAAAAGGCGAGCCAGAGGAAGGAGGGGTGGGGTGGGGTGAAAGGCAGGAGCGGCGCCGCGGGGCAACCAGCTTCGGAAGCCCTAACAGCTCAGAGGTTTTTTCAAAAGGCAGGTGGGTCTGTGTGAGCCAATCATTAAGCTCTAAAGCATAATGACGGCGAGTGAGTAAAGACCTGGTCAGACTTCAGCAATGGTACGAGGAGGGGCAGAAGAAGCTCGACGAGGGCGAGATACCAGAGGTTTGTCGTTAATATCAAATGACCATGATCAAGTATCTACGGTGGCCATCACGAGATCACACTGCACAGTCTGCTGCGCATTTGGACGAGTCTTTGCGGTGTTGCTGGCCGCTCTTGAAGCTGATATCTGGGGGAGCAAACTGGCAGGTTCAGCGCAACACACATCCATTCTCAACGAACGAACAAGCCCCGGCACCCGAGAGGAATCTCAGTAAAGCTGCTGTGCTCTAGTGTACTACCTAGGCACCGCATTTAGAAATAGAAACATCACCATAGCGCCTCTAGCTGCTCTATCAGCAGCTCAATAACCTATCTCAACCTCTTTCAATATCTGTCTTCCACCAGAGCAATCGCAAAAGCGCTGGTTCTGCGTGGAGGTACAAGCGAACTGTTAGGCGGGTACATGCGGGGCGCAATTTTTGCGATTCCTTTCTTGTGCGCATCGCCGCCCAAAGGAAAATTTCTCACTACGGCCTGAAGAAAAATTCGATCATGCTGGCGGTCGAGGCTCGGTGGGTTACCCTTTCGTGTGGTGGATGCGCGGGCGCGTCCTAAAATTGTCTGGGGCCTGCTTGTGGTCGGCCTGCTACAGAGACGAGCATGGCTCTGGGACTGTTCTGCCCAACGCAGCATCTGAGGATTTTTTTTTGCCCCTCAATTTACGTCCGTCAGCCCAACGCAACCACGGCGTGAGTCACTTGAGTAATCTTAAGATCTTCTTCCTGAATTCTCTCGCTCATATTATCACACCGATAAGAGTATCCTGCCCGAGTGGCTCTCCTTGTTGGCTCTTCATTTTCTTCCGCGTTCGACCACCAAGGGAGGGGAAGCTTCAAGATTGCCCCTCCTCTATGGCGCGGTCTGTTTCTGGCTCAAACTCCCTGCACGAATCAACGTCATGCTCCACTGAATCTTTTAGCGCCTGTGGGTTGCCACCACCGCTGCGCGACCAGTGCACGGAAGATCTAGCCTTGGCTGGGATGTGTGAGGTGGTCAAACAGGAAGTTGATTGTCTCATCAAAAATTTTCAAGCTGGAGGGGTAATACAGTACAGATAGGTAGAAGCGAATATCAACAGTTCAGTTAGGCATCATAACATCAGGTAGATCATGTATTTGATCCCTTCTACTAATGTCCAGAACATTCGTATGGTCAATCGCATTGACCATAATCTCCGCTCATTGTTGCATTTCCTCGTCTTGGTCTTGCGCCTGTGTGTTGCCCAGCTGTTGTTTACTCGTGTTGTGCCCCTCCCCCTCCTTGTCAACAACCCCTCCATCAGAGTCTGGTCCAAGCAGTGGTTGCTGGGATCAATAGCCTCTAACCACCGAACAAGCGCGCCAGAGCAGAAAAGAAACCACAAGGAGGGGCAAAAAAATCATGTCCAGCCACTGTGGAGCCCACACGAAGCGCAGCTGCAGCTCACCTTGATCTGTCGCGGGATGGTCGTGCTCTTGGTGGAGGTCCAGATGAGGACCCTGGGGGTTAATAAAACTTCTGACGTTGAATCAGGATGCCAAAATCAGCTGGTCTAAAGGCCTCTTGAGATATACTAAATTTACCTAAGTCTTTTCGTCACTTAGGACACAGGTCTTGAGTTTTCTTGCCTCCCCTAGGGGCCTTGCGATTTCATGCAGCTTCAAGTGCCACTCCGATATCTCGAGCCATTGAGGAATTGCCAGATTGTCAAACACAAAAGTTAGCACCGCTACACTTTATCCGTATGACACAGCTGAAACTATCATCCAACTGCTACCCCGATGACTCTGACGGCAGGAATGTATCACTGTAAGCTTAATGGAAGAAGAACCTTTGAGTGATGTGGGATCTTTCTTGTCCATTAGATATCTCGTTGAACCCGTGGAGGCCGTGCTCCCTTGTTGATGGATTGTTGCGACACATGTCAAGAATTTCTGGGCTATGTTTTGGCGCATATTCACGGCGGTTATTGTCCATCGTCTCCATCTTGATATGGTTTTTGTTGTCACATTGCCATTATGGAGAACTCTATCTGAGGGGGTTTGTTCACAGTGGATATGCCCTCGCTGCATGCATCGGCTCCGCCGTAGGCCTGTCGTCTCGAAATTCTCCTTCACTTTACGGAAGATATCGTGAGACTCAAGTGGAGGACGCACCATATGAGAACATCTCATGATTCATCGATGAGAAATTTTTAAGCCCTCTTCGCTTTTGTAGACCGCTACTATTGATATGTAATGGTGGTGAGAACCTGAGGTGTCAAGAACTTTGATGATCTCGATGTCATGTTTAGGGTAGCATCGAGACTCACAACACAAGGTAACTTGTACGAAATTAACCATGATACACCACCTGATACAAGCCAAGCTTTACTGGTACCAAGATATTGTTATGAAAGCCTGTGCATCTTTATGACCAATGGTAATAATTGTGAAAGTCGAGTGCCGCTATCGCCTCCCTGTTGAGCTTGACCTATCCCGGCGGCCAAGCGGAGCCATTCCAAAGTCCATATAAAGACAACATCCCCCGGCTTGTGTCACACATGCATGCATGAGTTGGGTATTGTAAGCTCGTACAAATTATCCCGGACAGTACGGTTCAAACCGAATTACTTAACCAGAAGATATTGGTTGTTCAATTGATTATACAGATCTCGAAATCAGTTGCTTTCTATCCAAATCTCAAGAGTTGATGCGAATCCAGTTTTGAGCCTTCTCAACACCACGAAACAACGACACTGCGACCATACAATGCGACCACTCAATCACTCAATCACCAGCTGAGAAATAACAGTAACAGCGCCGATGACTCGATCACCACCGCCCTCCACACCCGAATTCTATCCAATTACCGCGCAGCGCCCTGCACGCTCCCGTCTGTGAAACTGCAGCATCCCGTCACTGCCTATAACCGCCCCTTTTTTTCAACAGTATATAGCCCGTCACAACAGTACCTATCCCAACAAGCAATACCAAAGACTTCGTGGTCGAACGGTTAAAGCAAACGAAAGCCCGTATAGAGTAATAGTTAACTCGTTGGACTCCTATAACAGTATAGGCGATAGCCAAGGATCCTGGTGCAAATCCGGGTGCGGGTGGTATTTTTTGCATTTTTGGGGGTTCTACTTCTTGCTGCACAAGTCTGGCTGATTTAATCTGCACGCAAAGCGGTTCGAACACCCTTTTGCTCATCCTGTCTCGGGAGACTCGAATCACGAGGCAGTGTGCTGTGCATTCAGTCTTCAAGTCTGCTCAACACCACAACCACCGTAGAAGTCTCGAGGAGAAAGTAAAGTCGAAACAAGGCGTAAAATATCAAACGTACGATGTATGCTACAATTATCTATGAATGCTGCTATCTACCTCAGTCAAGTCCAGCTTGACCAATATCCACGTAATATACACATCTGCATGAATTATCCATTGTCTACACACAGCCCTTACCGGACCTTGCCCTCAACCTTCTTACCCTGAGTGTTCATACCCTTTGGCGTCTTCAACCCTCCAAACACCGCCGCAGCGACAACAGCGATACCTGTTGCGCCCATACCATATGCTACCTCACGGCCAGCCCACCAGTACACACTTGTGAACAGTATAGGGCCGAGGCCTCGACCAAGCTGGCCCCAACTTCGTAGCATGCCGAGCTTGTTGCCGCGCTCATCCTCGTGAGCTTCGAAGCTGGAAAGTGCATTCAGACCCGTAACGACGGTAGCGGATGTAACGGCCAGGCATGTAGCAGCGATATACAGACCACCGATTGTGTTGACCTGTCCCAGAAGAACGAAGGACGCAAGGCAAGCTAGTGTGCCGATTCGAACAGACATCAGAGGTGGGAGTCGTCGTGTGACACCGCCCTGGAGAATAGATGCTACAAGACCAACATAGCCAAGTAATCTTCCATTCTTGCCGGAAGTGAACGAGAAGAGCTCGTACGTCATAAAGGACAAAGAACTCTCCATGCCAGAAAAGAAAAGCAGAAAGACGAAGTGAATGGCATTCAAGAGAAAGTGAGAGTTGGTCCTCTCAATAGCCTTGGGTATAGCTTTCTTCTTCCGACCGTCCTTCGCCTGAGCACCACGTAGCGATGGCAACGTCTCAGGCAAGCTGAAGTATAGATACACTGTCTCCACAACAATCAGCGCAAGACTGAAACCCGCAGCCGCTGCAAACGGGTTCGCCGTAAATGTCGAGAATGTGCTGAGCCACGCGCCAAGTCCAGGACCAAAGGTGAAAGCGATTGAGAAGCACGCGCCGATCAGAGCCATAGTTGCACCGCGAGACGACTCATCCGAGATATCACTCGCCATTGCTGTAGCGAGCTGGACATTGCCTTCTGATAACCCACCAACAACACGACTAGCGATGAATGTTCGGAAATCGACGGCGGCAACCCAGAGCAGGACGGATAGAATGTTGCCACACATGGAAGCCAAGAGCGCTTTGCGACGGCCATATCGATCGGAGAGGGCGCCGATTAGAGGTGATGCAATGGCTTGCAGAAGTCTATAGAGTAAGATTGTCAGCTTGCGCCTTAACGTTTACTGGCTTGCTTGACGGTTACGCACGAGAACAGAGAGCCTAAAGCTCCGCCCAGCAGCACAATGTCATGTCGCGACTCGATCGGGCGGGAGAAAGAAGCCTTGTATCGGTGGAGGCCTGAGAGGACGGTCTGGAGGAGAGTTTGAGGTCCGTCGTGGCCGATTGGCTCCTGGACTTCGCGGTCGCGGTAAAATTCGAGAAGCTTGGGGAACAAGGGAAGGATGAATGTGAAGGAAATCTAGGAACTTGAATTAGCGAGGAAACCATACTGAACTGTTCTTGTTACATACCAGATCGAGGAGTAGCGAGACAGCAATGACCCGGAGGACTCGCTTCCTCGCTGCGGGATCGAAAGTAGACATTGGCGGGTGCTAAATGAGGACAGATAGATTTGAAGTAATAAACAGAGACAGACAGAGGGAGGTATGGAACGGATGTACAAGGAAACGAAATAGCAATTATGTATAAAAAGAGAAGAAAAGGGAAAAGAACTAATAAAAGACCGAAGAGAGAAGCTCAGGAGACAGTGGACACTTGCTGGTCTGACGGCATCTGATCTCGGAATAGCAACGTGGTGGTTTGGTGGCTGCTTGCTTCGACCAGGCCCAATAGAAATAGCTGCGTCACTACCATTAGAAGAGTGGATGTGGATGGTCTCAGGTCTGTGGCGTGCGGATATCCCCTGTAATTTAGGGGGTCTTTGCTGCAACCTCTTGACGGAGGAACTCCACATTGGATTTCTCGATGGTTGCTAATCCTTGAGCCATCGACGGAACTGCCGTGAATGTTTCAATACGAGATGATAGATCGACACTAGAAGCGAATTACAGGGTCACACTGAGAAGAAGCTAGAAAATATGCTTTTTGAATTGGATATTTGTAATTTTTCGTTGTTTTTATTTGTTTCTCCGATTCTCCTATCCAACCAGTTCGACTCCTGGCCTTCAACACAAGAAAAAAGGATACAGTTCTGTATCTCATGATCCTTTGGGATTCGGTATTCTTAAAAGTCCATATATCGTATTTATCATGACAAAGAAGATCAACCTCTTATACGTGCGCCTCATTTGGCTTGGAGATTTGGTGTTGATTGTAAAAGTCTTGCTGTTCTTCCATGTTCAACACAGATACTGCGAAGCTTTCAGATCGACATCCTCTTCTCCAGAACACGGTAACAAACAAAGCCAGAAGGCTATTGGAAAGCAATGCAAGACGTAAACTCATGACATAGAAAAAGGCACGTATGTGCCGCATCTTAAAAACATAAAACATGAAACTCATAGCTTCTCATGACATAACATGATCGTAATTCCATCATACAAACTCGTTTCCATCAAAGGGTTCATAAGAAAGACATAGTAGGTGCTGGGTATCGCAAAGCAGAGCAGGGGCTAGAGCCAAAGCGGCAACAAAAGCAGAGCAAAGCAAAGATACCTAACCTTGATATAGTAGTGAAGTGTTTGTCTTCACTTAGTAGGTTTCGAAGACGAAGCGGAATCCCTCAGATCCCTTGTAGGGAATAGGCATGAAGTAGTCAGCATCAATCTCGCAGTCTCGAACTCGTGTCTCGAAAATGCTGAGGTAGCCAACGTCTCCAAAGCGCTGATCGCCATCATCGCTACCATACACAACACCACCACTTCCCCATCTGCGGAAGAGTTTGGCAAGTGTAAGATAAAGCTCGGCGTGAGCCAAAGCCATGCCGAGACAGATGCGCGAACCGGAGCAGAAGATGTCGAGGTACTTGTCAAGTCGCTCTCCATCCTCCACCCATCGCTCAGGGTGGAAGCCGCGGGCGTCGTAGAAGATGTTCTCGTCCATGACGGTCTTGTAAGGGCTCATGCCAACGATGGATCCTGGAGGGAGGTTCCACTCCTCATCGTTCTCGCGATCATGGTAGACGAGAGCCTCATCGGGGGCAACGCGTGCGAGGCGGCTGCTAGTTCCGATGCCAAGGCGCAGGGCTTCCTTGACAACTCCACGAAGGTAAGGGAGCTTCTCCAATTTTGAGAGAGGAATGGTCTCGTAAGCATCAGGGATAGCATCAAAGAGCTCGTCGCGTAGCTTGCGGAGGGTCTCGGGGCGGTTCAAAAGGTGGAAAGTGGCAAGTGACATGGCCCACGATGTAGTTAGAGTGCCACCCTGGACAGTGATCTGGCTTTCCTGTGTCTGGCGAGAGGCGGTCTTGTCACGAACGGAGCGAGTCTTGGTGGAGAGCATGGTAGGGTGACCTCCATCCATCATCCACTTGCCGCTGCTTTGAGGAGGGTCGACGCTGTGAATCTGTTCAAGAATGTCGTTCTTCATCTTCAAGAAACCACCCCATCCCGGCATGCATCGGTTTGAGATGGACTCCGGTAGAGCATTGACGAGGGTGAGAACCCAGTCGAGCTGCTGCACACAAGGTCCCATGTGAGTACCGATGAGAAGGTCATTAGTGACTTCAGCACCGAAATCGGGCTTCTCGACAAGATGGTCGCTTCGAGCAAAAGCGTATTCATTGATGACATCTGAGGACATTATTAGAGTTGTCATTGTGTGGGAGACTGACTGATGAGACTTACCATTGGTAAAGGCCGAGTAGGGATACATGACATCAAGAGGCTGTCCATTGGATACCTCGGCGTAATTCAGGAACGCACCCAGAAGAGCTTCCACTCTCTCCTCGATAACCGGCTGCAATTCGCGCACAGTCTGAGTCGAGTAGAAAGGGTTCAGCGCACTTCGACGCAACTTGTGAAGGCTGTGGTCGATGGCAGCAAGAGAGCCTTCTGTCGCAGTCTTGGGTCCTGCGAGAGCAGTTGGGTGAGGTACACGGGTACGGGGGGCACCGGACTATTTGATTGTTAGTTGAAATCTGTGTATATCTTGAGTACACAGATGCTTACCTGTTGGGTGTAGAATGTCCACTTGTCTCGACGTCGGCTGGGTCCAGTGTAGAGGTCCGAAAAGAATTCAGGGTCTCCTACATGGACCTCCCAGGGGTTAATGCGAACAATGGGGCCATATCGTTCATGCATATCGATGATCTTGTAGGTGTATTGTCCTCCTAGGACGAAGTCGTAGTAGAACTCATAGTATTGAGTCAATGCGGCCAGCTTGGGACCTGGGATATGGGCCAGAGGGCTGAGCCATAGTCTCCAAATCACAAGCTGGACGAGATAGATGAGCCAGATGCCCGCAAGCAAGCATCCGGTCTGCTGCCAGGTAAGGGCAGCAATGGTCTCTTGGACCGCCATGAAGGTGTTGGAAGCCATTCATGAGCGACTCGCCCTAACAGGACGGTATTGTCATTGAAGGAAGTAAAGATTAAAGATGATTTATTGGAGTGGCCATGGGCTCTCCAGGCTGCAGAGCAGAAGCCTTTGAGGAGATAGATCTCTTGTCAAGAAGCATGCGAGGTGGTGCTACATTTGTATTTCAAGCATAAGCATGGTCAAGCCTTCACCGCATGGACTTTTAGACCTCTCGATCGGTCGTAGTGGATGGGCTGGGAAGACGGGGAACCCTCTCCCGGGTGCGCGAGCGGGCCGCGTGGAGACTCCTTCAGGCGGTGAACAACAATTCGGGGACTGTCTTGCAGGGCACGGCCAGCTGTCACCGCAAGTGCTGTAAACATCGTTGGTTGACGAGAATTCGGACGATCGTGGTCACATAATCAAGCCAATAGGTGTTGCAGCCGGAAGCCGGGGAGCTTGCAACGCTTGTCTTGAAAGGGAAGAACCATTGGATCGCTAAGACGTTAGAAAGGGAGAATCAGGAACCATTTTAGCTCGTGGTTGGTGATTCAGGGGTTGAGCGGATGAACTGGTTACCATTTTTCTATAAAGAGTTTTCAAAGAGCGAGAGGTTGGTAGTTGTAAAGGCGGCGGACGGATTCTGTGGGAGGTTGGAAGTTGGTGGTTGGCGGTGACAAGGGCAAATTGGCCAACGAAAATGGGATGAAATCGTACCTCTGATCGGTTGCATCCGAGCTAATTAGGTTCAGTGCACATTGACCAAAAAAGTGGGAGATGAGATGATCAGAAACAGACAGAGAATGCCAATGAATGTTTGAAGTGCTACAAAGAAGTACTCACGGGCCACACAGACGTTTGTCCGGCATATGTGCAAACGATATCACCTAGCTTCACAGCCGGAGTTTCTATGTCATCACTGTGTACGATGTATACAATTATATCAACAATACTATACCAGGTAAATTGTATCATAATGGCTTGCTCCTTTTTAATGAAAGCGTGGACGCAGTGATTGTGCATCTAACCGCTTCATAGCTATGTGAATGCCTTCAAATATCGCCATGATACCCTTGAACAGCCACCCTAGAGCAGCCCCTCATCAATCTCACTCATTGATCTGTTGCCATTGACAATTCGGAGACACTCTGGCCTAAAAGGGACGATAGTGCTGAAACGGTCGAGCTGTCGACTGTTTTGGATGATCCGGCAACTGTGATCCTTGCGTAGTTGTCTAGCTGGTACGAGAATGCCAGCTATGTCAGACCATACTGAAGCCATTCATGGTTGACACACCGTACAATGTCAAGCTGCTACGGAAATAATTATCGTCCACTTTTAAAGCTCCGAAAACCACCGTACCAGTCATCTAATGACAACAGTGGCTGCATAATATAGCTTCATCCTACGGCTACGAACATGGCCGGTGAGGATGGGAACAGTAAACCGGCCCGGTCTGCATGCTTCGTGTGTCACACCACTAAGTATGTATGAAGCCTAGCGAGTGTCACGATACTAAACAGTAAAATAAAAAGCAGTTATGCTTGAGTAGGGAATGATATTGGACTACTGAGTCCGGATACTTTTGTAACTCGTGGTATAAGTCCAAGTTGAAGCTATACCATAGATCACAACAATATCCTACGATACATGCTTCATTATCCGTGCACTGAGCAGACACTAGATTATCTAGATAACGATCATATCATACAGATACTACCCTCCAAGTGTGTGGATGCTGCATCCGATCCCATGCATCAGCCAAAGACGCAGTAGCGGAGGCAGACACGGGATCGAGAGGTTACCTTTGATATAAATGGGGTTTTCAACTCAACATCCCGCGTCTGATACTCCACCCCCACACAGAAATCCGGGGTAAATGCCTCCAGTTTCTTATTAGTCCCAGATATGAAGCACCTAACTTACTGCACATGTACACGGGCTGTCAAGCTTAATAAAGAGATAAGAACGGCGACCCCTCCATTGTAAATCTTGTCTTGTCTTGTCTGTGACGTCTCTGCACCTTCTAGACTGCGGCTGCTTCCGCATCTTCAGATCCCCGCGCTAAAAGTCACATCATATGGATATCAACTTCAACCTTGTAGCCACAACCACAGAACGGACTTTTTACTTAGTTGGATAGTGACGACACGCAATAAGATCAACGGGACCTTGCATTTCTAGGCAGTTTCATGAGGCTTTTAGCTTTGATCACGGCGAACGATACGCCTTCAGGAGAAAACGGCTGCTCATTACCTCGTCTGGAACCAACGGGTTTCAGATCCTTCGATCGCCAACCCTCAGCTCTCTTCTCCCTCGAAAACCCCTCGTATTTCTCATTCCATCGTCGATCAATTCAATTGCCATCGTCATTGTCGTTCCACTCTCCCTGATGGCTTGAAGCTTGCGC